GGGTCACTGGTGTGTACTACCGTGACCACAATGACATCCTGGCACCGATTATTCTGCCCTTTGCTCAACGTTCATGTCATGGTTTCATTTTTGTCCCCCGCCTTTCGAAGAAAGCAGGGGACTATTAAAATGGGTTCGTCCGTCTGTCTGTCCGTCCGTCCGTCTGTCTGTCCGTCACACTTTTTGGGACACAATAACTCTCTTCCTAATTGAGCTAGAATGTTCAAACTTGGTGTATGTGTTGATTAGGTCAATGCCTTGATGGAGTTCGAAGATGAGCATTTTCCGCTTAGGGTAAGCAGAGATAAGCAATTTGATTGGTTGATGCTTTGGGACACGATAACTCTCTTCCTAATTGGGCTAGAATGTTCAAACTTGGTGTATGTGTTGATTAGGTCAATGCCTTGATGGAGTTCGAAGATGAGCATTTTCCGCTTAGGGTAAGCAGAGATAAGCAATTTGATTGGTTGATGCTTTGGGACACGATAACTTTTAATTGAGCTAGAATGTTCAAACTTGGTGTATGTGTTTATTAGGTCAATGCCTTGATGGAGTTCGAAGATGAGCATTTTCCGCTTAGGGTAAGCAGAGATAAGCAATTTGATTGGTTGATACTTTGGGGCACGATAACTCTCTTCCTAATTGAGCTAGAATGTTCAAACTTGGTGTATGTGTTGATTAGGTCAATGCCTTGATGGAGTTCGAAGATGAGCATTTTCCGCTTAGGGTAAGCAGAGATAAGCAATTTGATTGGTTGATGCTTTGGGACACGATAACTTTAGTTCTAATTAAGTGAGATTGATGAAACTTGGTGTATAGTTTCATTACAGTAATACCTTGACTAAGTTTGATAATGAGCATTTTCTGCTCAGGGTAAGCAGAGCGATACGCAATTTGATTGGTCGAGACTTTGGAAAACAATAACTCTCCTACTTTGATTGTCCCCCGCCTTTCGAAGAAAGCAGGGAACTATTAAAATGGGTTCGTCCGTCTGTCTGTTTGTCTGTCTGTCCGTTCCGCTTTATGGTAAATAAACAAATAAATGGAAAAAACAAATTGAAAAAGAAACTATTATAAATTAATTAAATATGTAGTATGCAATAATGAATTGACATTTAATGACAGAAAGAAAACAGTGAACTTTGCACAACTTGCAGCAAGATGGAAAATAGACCCGTTGATACAACCAAACTCTAGATCTGTAGGCATAGAGCATGTTTTCCCCTTAATATGCTATAATTATTCCATCAAAAACATTGTATGCTTAGACTATAAGTAAAGATATACTGTTTGATTGTTCAATACTTTGTAAAAGATAATTTGTGATAAATTTATATGTGTCCTCTAATTATTTTCCTATTTTGGCGGGGGACATCAGCCTCACTGTTGGCTTGTTCAAGATGATAATGCCCGTGTCCACCGCGCTCGTGTCATGAATGACTGCCTCCAGCGTCACAATATTGTTCATATGCCTTGGCTAGCCATGAGTCCTGACCTTTCCCGTTTAGAGCATGTCTGGGACATGATCGGGAGACGTGCTTGTTGGCGTCAACGTCAACCGACAACACTGCACGAATTGGTCATGGCACTGAAAGAGGAGTGGGTCAGATTGCCCCAAATCGTGATTGGATGGATTAGGAGCATGCCACGACGAATTGCTAAATGTCTGACGTTTGGTGGAGCAATTAATTTCTCATATTAAGACAAAAATCAAAGATAGGTTGCCAGGCAACAAAACATACGCCCACAGCAGCTAAATCGTCCGAGCGGTCGTCAAGGGTTGTCGCATATTTATTCCTTTGTAGGTAATTGGGGGCCTTTACAAGACAGTTCCATACAGATCAGATTATAAATTTTGTAGTTTGAGGGTTTACAAGGTTCTACAAACTGAAACAAGGGTCTCAACTCTGGAAGAAATCTACAGAAATTGTTGAAATTTGACAGGCTTTTTCGTTTTTATACGCCCACATGGAAATGTGGTCGTATATTGCCGTCGCCCCCGTCCGTCGTCCACAATTTCTTGTGAACACTCTACAGACTACATTTATCATCTGATTGTTTTGAAATTGATATATGTTGTTTGCATTAGTGAGATGAAGAAGCCTATTTAATTTCAATAACTTCCGTTAATTTCATCTGGAGTTATGGCCATTGTTTCACTTTGTTGCACCTTGTGAACGCTCTAACGACAAAAGTTATCAACCGATCTGTATGAAATTTATATGCATCATCTAAATTAGTAAAACAAAGAAGCCTATTGAATTTCAGCAATTTCCGTTAATAACATCTAGAGTTATGGCTCTTGTTTCACTTTGTTGAATCTTGTGAACGCTCTAATGACAACAGTTATCATCCGATCTGTTTGAAATTGATATGCATCATTTAAATTAGTGAAATGAAGAAGCCTATTGAATTTGAGCAATTTCCGTTTATTACGCCGTGAGTTATGGCCCTTGTTTCACTTTGTTGTACCTTGTGAATGCTCTAACAAAAGTTATTATCCGATCTGTATGAAATTTATATGCATCATTTAGATTAGTAAAACAAAGAAGCTTATTGAATTTCTGCAATTTCCGTTAATTACATCTAGAGTTATGGCCCTTGTTTCACTTTGTTGCTTCTTGGGAACGCTCTAACAACAAAAGTTATCAACCGATCTTTATGAAATTGATATGCATCATTTGAATTAGTAAAACAAAGAAGCCTATTGAATTTCAGCAATTTCCGTTAATTACATCTAGAGTTATGGCCCTTGTTTCACTTTGTTGAATCTTGTGAACGCTCTAATGACAACAGTTATCATCCGATCTGTTTGAAATTGATATGCATCATTTAAATTAGTGAAACAAAGAATCCTATTGAATTTCCGCAATTTCCTTTAATTACGCCGCGAGTTATGGCCCTTGTTTCACTTTGTTGTACCTTGTTTATGCTCTAACAAAAGTTATTATCCGATCTGTATGAAATTTATATGCATCATTTAGATTAGTAAAACAAAGAAGCTTATTGAATTTCTGCAATTTCCGTTAATTACATCTAGAGTTATGGCCCTTGTTTCACTTTGTTGCTTCTTGGGAACGCTCTAACAACAAAAGTTATCAACCGATCTTTATGAAATTGATATGCATCATTTGAATTAGTAAAACAAAGAAGCCTATTGAATTTCAGCAATTTCCGTTAATTACATCTAGAGTTATGGCCCTTGTTTCACTTTGTTGAATCTTGTGAACGCTCTAATGACAACAGTTATCATCCGATCTGTTTGAAATTGATATGCATCATTTAAATTAGTGAAACAAAGAATCCTATTGAATTTCCGCAATTTCCTTTAATTACGCCGCGAGTTATGGCCCTTGTTTCACTTTGTTGTACCTTGTTTATGCTCTAACGACAAAAGTTATTATCCGATCTGTATGAAATTTATAGGTATTGTTTAAATTAGTAAATCGAACTAACCTATTGAGTTTCAGCAAATTTCCCTTTATTACATCTAGAGTTATGGCCCTTGTTTCACGTTATTGAACCTTGTGAACGCTGTAACACAAAAAGTTATCACCCGATCTTTGTGAAATTTATATGCATGATTTAAATTAGTGAAACGAAAAAGCCTATTGAATTTCAGCAATTTACAATAATTACTTCTATAGTTAATGCCCTTGTTTCACTTTGTTAAACCTTGTTAATGCTCGATTGATGATAGTTATCATCCGATATGTATGAAATTTATATGCATCATTTAAATTTGTGAAACAGGTCTATTGAATTTCAGCAATTTCCGTCAATAATTTCTAGAGTTATGGCGATTGTGAACGTTTGAATGACAAAAGTCATCATGTGATCTGTATGAAATTTATATGAATTATTTAAATTAGTAAGATAGGTTGCCAGGCAACTAAACATACGCCCACAGCAGCTAAATCGTCCGAGCGCTCGACACGAGTTGTCGTATATTTGTTCTTTTGTAGGTAATTAGGTGGCATTTAATAGACAATTTCATACCGATGACATTATAATTTTCGTCGTTTGAGGGTTCACAAGCTTCTAAAAACTAAAACAAGGACTGTAACTCTGGAAGTAATCTACAGAAATTGTTGAAATTCGACAGACTTTTTCGTTTTACTAATTCAAATAATACATATCAATTTCATATAGATCGGATGATAACTTTTGTCGTTCGAACGTTCACAAGGTTCAACAATGTAAAACAAGGTCCATAACTCTAGAACTAATTGACAGAAATTGCTGACATTCAATAGACTTCTTCATTTCACTAATTTAAATGACGCATATGAATTTCAAACATATTGGGTGATAACTTTTGTCGTTCAAGCGTTCACAAGATTCAACCATGTGAAACAAGGGCCTTAACTCTAGATGTAATTAACGGAAATTTGCTGAAACTCAATAGGTTAGTTCGATTTACTAATTTAAACAATACCTATAAATTTCATACAGATCGGATAATAACTTTTGTCGTTAAAGCATTCACAAGGTACAAAAAAGTGAAAAAAGGGCCATTACTCACGGTGTAATTAACGGAAATTGCTGAAATTCAATAGGCTTCTTTGTTTTACTAATTTAAATGATGCATATCAATTTCAAACAGATCGGATGATAACTGTTGTCATTAGAGCGTTCAAAAGATTCAACAAAGTGAAACAAGGGCCATAACTCTAGATGTAATTACGGAAATTGCTGAAATTCAATAAGCTTCTTTGTTTTACTAATCTAAATGATGCATATAAATTTCATACAGATCGGATAATAACTTTTGTCGTGAGAGCGTTCACAAGGTTCAATAAAGTGAAACAAGGGCCATAACTCTAGACATAATAAACGGAAATTATTGAAATTAAATAGGCTTCTTCATCTCACTAATGTAAACAACATATATCAATTTTAAAACAATTGAATGATAACTTTTGGCGTTAGAGCGTTCAGACGGACGGATGGGGGTGACGGCAATATACAACTATATATAATAAAATAAAAACACGAAATAATTAGATATATCTGTTTAATAACCTGATAATAACAATACAATATAGATTGATAGTATGAAAATACAATAATAAACATAATATATGAATACAAAAACAAGCTTTCATAAATATATTTGGATTTATCAAAGGTTAACAAGTTTTTATTAATATATTTGGATTTATGAAAGGTTAACCCGTTAAGTGTGTAGGGCGTTATATAACGTCCTGGACAACTGCCACTCACTGTGTGTAGGGCGTAATATAATGACTTGGAGGTATTTTCCCCAACCTATTCTTAGAACATAGTACATAGTTCTTCGTCACTTCGTCAAATTAATTACACAATAGGGGGTAGTGAATGTTTTAAAAACGTCACGCTTAACGGGTTAACAGTGTTATGGCCACAGGTATAAAAATATTTGAAGAAAAGGATCTGGCTAGAATTTAGAATCTGTCCACTGCTCACCTGCAATACTGCAGGAACAGTGAACATTCAAGCCACCTCCAGTAAAGTATAGTGTTTTAAAAGTAGGTTGCAAGACTATGAAACATATGCCACAGTCATCTGAGCAGTCCAAATGAAGTTGTTATGGGAGCAATTACAAGACAATAAAAACTGATCATGAGTAACAACTCATGAAGTGATTATAAAAAATTAATAAAATTAGATACAACTCCTTGTCTACCTAAACATTAATCAAAAGGTTAATTTAGCTCTGATGTCTCATTTCATGAACATTGTGTATTAATTTCAAATCATTAACTTTGTATAATAAAGACACTTGAAAGATATTATTTTGAGCATGCAAGGAGTCAAAGGTAATAACTCTGGAAGTAATTATTGTAGAAAACCTACATGACATTAACAACTGTAAATAAATCTAAGGACAAGATTTTGCAACTTGATCAAGAGCCATAACTCTGGCAGTAATTATTGGATATTATCCACAATCAATAGGCTTCTTTCTCTCATGTTAAATTCAAAGTCAATCAAAAGATATATTTAGCCTCTAGATAATCCACAAGACTTTGAAAGTGATAAAGGTCCATAACAATTGGAAATCGTTGTAAATTTTAGGAGTACCGATATTTGTCAATTGGATAATAACTTTAGTCTCTAGAGCGTCCACAAGGAACTGTATGGCGAGGACAGAATCAAACCACATTTCAATGTGTGCATATATTTAAAACAAGTGGTTGCCATGGAAGTTACGCCCACATTTTGCAAGAGATGGACGGAGAACGAATCGGATCAAAATTCTGACCTCGAGAGGGTCCACAACCTTGATATACCAGATGTTTACACTATTTGCTCACGAGGGGCGGCCATTCTGTCTGACAGTTTTGGTCCGATTTTCACGAAATTCGAACTCAACCAACATTTTTGTAAATCAGATAATAATTGTGACCTCTAAAGGGACCAAAAGCTAAAAACACGATTTTTCGTACAATCAGGGGCCATAATTCAGGAAGTTACAATCCGATATGCGCAAATATCGACAGCAACCAAGATCTTTGGGTTATAAACATGCATGTCAAGTTTGATCAAAATCGGATAAAAATTGTGACCTCTAGAGGATCTACAACCTTGATATGCGCGAAAGGAACCACGATCTTTGGGTTATAAACATGCATTTCAAGTTTAATCAAAATCGGGTGAAAATTGTGACATTTAGAGTATCCACAAGCTAAAAACGTGATTTTTCGTACAATCAGGGGCCATAAACCATGAAGTTTCAATCCGATACATGCCAATATCGAAAGGAACCGATATCTTAGGGAGATAAACCTACATTTTAAGTTTCGTTGAAATCGAATAAAAATTGTGACCTGTAGACTAGTCCAGACGGACAGGGGCAACGGCAATATACGTCCACATAAAAATGTGGGCGTATAAAAAACATGGACAGATTCAGATATCACTCAAAAGTCCAAAGTCTTGACCAAACAGTATTTTCTACCACAAAATTTAAATGCACTGAATATTTATGTTTCTATCAATTAAATGTACTAGGAAACAGCAACATTTCTTCAGTTCATTATTTTAGAAGTATACAAAGAATGTACAAATTAAGCTAAAACAAATAAAAGCAAAACAAGATTACATTATGATAGCACTAAATTAGCAGGGGAATATGTCTACTGCATTGATATCTTCACCCACTGTACCCTATCCAGTTTTCAATGTCTACAAAATTAAACTCAACAGTGTAGGCTCTACATTGTATGATTCTTAACCAATTCCAAGGCAATGAGAATTTTCTCAAACCGAAACCTCGAAAATATGGAAACTGATCAGTTATCATTAACAATTATATAAAGTTTTGATTCAAAATGAATGGGAGACTTTCAATTTCCTGAGTGAATTGGTTAAGTAATGCCTGCACCTTAAAATGTTTTAAAATAAATCAATTATTTTCAACAACATATACTGGTACTCATCAGAAAAATTATTTGCTTAGTGTCCTTCGAATCATTCTCCTATCCCCTTTAGCGGTAAAAAACTAGACTATTTGCATGATGGGCTAAAAATAACAGCAGTATGAATTGAATCTATTAATCAATATTAAATATGTATATTAAATAAGAAAATATTTATTCACCATCAGCGGATGAACATCTGTATCAAACAATACTATATCACTTCTTTATCGTCTTATTAAATACCAGCTTAGTGTAACAATAACACTTTTCTTTGAAGACTAGCTTCTTTTTAACAAATGTATATGACACTTATATATTTATTGTCCCAACCTCATTATCTTCCTAAAAACACCAGGTCCGTTCCAATAACCCCTGAAAATTTTTTAGAAAATAGAAAGAATTTGAGATGATTTTCAATCAAATTAAAATATGACAACACAATTATTTTGTCTCATTTTTGTTGTTACCAATACCATTTAAAGTTACAATTTCATATTTTCTAAGAAAGTCAAAGCATAATTATTTCTATGTCTTTTGCTCAATAGGTTGTCAACTCACTATTATACGATCATAGGTTATCTTTCTCACACTTACAAATCTTCACACCGGAAATAATAACACAATTACCTCCCAATTATCTCCCTTGTTATCCTATTCTCCACCATGGAATAGCTATCTTCAAACGTTTGAATTTGAAGTTGAAAATGATATTTTTGCCAATTTCTCAACTGGCAATATGAAATTATAGGATTAATAGGATTATTCTTTAACAAGGTAGGACTGTTTATAGATACCATCTATTTTAGGGCTTTAAATTTTAATACATTTTAAAAATATAACTTAAAAATATGTAATTGTAACTTTAAAGGACATGTATTCTAACTGATTAGGCATGGCATCTAATCAAGCCAATAAAACAAATCCTTGTCATCTGACCTAGCATGAATAGGCTTTAATTAAGGAAATGGAGGCCTTAAATTTCTTATTCGTTCTTCTATCTCCATCAGACAAGCCTCTCACCCATGACTCACTCTTCTAGCTAGTTTCCTTGGAAACACTTGTCTGCGATATAACCCTGAGTGGAAGCGGATGTTAAACCCGACCTAAAACAGATAATTCTTTAGTACCGGTACCTTGATCTCCAATTAAACTGAAATAATGATCTTTTTAAATTTTTATTGCAAACATCTTTCATAATTAACTAGAAAATAAAATGCTACACAAATCAAATAAATTATATACTTACTTCAACATACCATTCCAATACAAGAAAGGCATGAAATATTTCTTCATCAAAAACATGCTTCTTCGTTCCTTGCCTTGATCAACTGGAAAAGTTTCTAGTGGTTGACCGTTAAAATCAAATTCAGCCAAGATACATTTACTGTAACTTGTCACCAAAGGACATGATGTATAGCCATTGTACTGAAAAGTATTAAATATGCATTATGTAAGATTTAGATAAAGAGCTTGCTGTTCTTGCTATAATAGATATTTCAAGATTAATATATTGTGAATTTCATTCAAATTACTTTATTCCGAGCAAAGTTATCCATGTTTTTAGTTTTGACAATATGTGTGCATTGATTGTTTATTATTTAACAAAAGTGTTGGATTTTCGAGACTTAGCCTCGCCTCTCCAATTTTAAATTAAATCATTAAATGACCAAACCATTCTATTCTACTTAAAATCAGAGCTATCCAATGTCTTAGAAGGTTGATTATGGTCATGTCATGTTAAAAAATGTCTAATTGATAATTTATGTAATGTTTAAGGCCTAAAGAAAGACCTGCAATAGGCAGATTTATCTCTTGAATAATGTACATGCATCTTTAAAGTAACAATATTTAAAATCAACAAGCCAACAGAGAGGCAGTTGTCCCCCGCGAAATCCCAAAATAAATAAATGACACATATTAATTAATCGCACATTTATTTTTTTCAAAAGTATCGAGCAATCAAACTGTACACTAAGTTTCATCCCTCTCTACCAGATAGAATCAAAATTATCTTGTCCCAAAGCATCGATCAATGAAATTGATTAGTTCTGCTTAACTTCAGCTCGAATTAGTAATCATTGAACTCAGTCAAGACATTCACCTAATGAACATCTACATCAAGTTTAACCATTCTACCTCAATTAAAAGCAGTTGTTATGTTCCAAAGTCTTGACCAATCAAACTGTGCTTATCGCTGCTTGGCCTAAGCAGAAAATTCTCACCATATAATGAATCTATATTTCGAGTTTCATCGCTCTCACTTCATTATAACCAAAGTTATCATGGCCCAAAGCATCAACAAATCAGATTGCTTATCTCTGCTTACCGTAAGCAGACAATGTTCATCATCGAACTCCATCAAGGCATTCACCTAAATAACGCCTACACAAACTTTGAACATTCTACCTCAATTAGAAGGAGAGTTATTGTGTTCCAAAGTTTTGACCAATCAAATTGTTTATCGCTCTGCTTACCCTCAGCAGAATATTTTCATTATCGAACTTAGTCAAGATATTGATGTAATAAAGCTATACACCAAGTGTCCTCACTCTCACTTAATTAGAACTAAAGTTATCGTGTCCCAAAGCATCAACCAATCGAATTGCTTATCTCTGCTTACCCTTAGCAGAAAATTCTCATCTTTGAACTCCATCAAGGCATTGACCTATTAAACACCTACACCAAGTTTGAACATTCTAGCTCAATTAGAAAGAGAGTTATTGTGTCCCAAAAAGTGTGACGGTCAGGCGGACGGACAGACAGACGGACGAACCCATTTTGATAGTCCCCTGCTTTCTTCGAAAGGCGGGAGACAAAAATTCCATAAAAGGACAAGTCAATATTGAGTTGGTCAGATGATTTTATTCAGATAATGAGGGAGCGAGCTTCTATACTATTAAATATTAATTCAGTCATATAAACTGAAGTTACTGTTCAAAACAAAAAGATGTGTTCACTAAATAAAGAGGAAGTATATGGAAGTATATATAAGAGAACTTAAACCATACCAGTGACTGAACAGGTTTTCCATCTATAACAGCACTAAGATTTGTCTTTAGGATTCCTGCCTGAGCAGCTAAAAAAGAAATTTGTTCACAAAAAGACTTATTTTAGTAATGTTAATCAATATGATTCTGAAGACAATAGGCTACAGTAACACACAACCTATTCTTATATAGATCCATATTCTTAACCTTTTCACTATCAAGCTCCTTATTGTTTCGAAGTCCGTTCGGGAAACTGGAGAACCAACTACTCATATTGTGGACGCTACAATCTTGCTTTTTGGGTTTATCGCTAATATTCCACCTTGTGGTATTGATAGATGTTATCTGGACATTTGGACATAAACAAATAAAAGTCGAGGGCCTCAGAGAACCGGATGCATGCATAGTAATAGTAGGTACTACAATCTCATGGCTGGAAATATGGCCATCCACTTTTCACAGGTTAAACATTGTGCTTAAATTTTCTAAAACTTACCAACGGCAGCAGCTGTTTTAGAAGTAGGAACATTGGTACAATCACCAATTCCAAATATATTTTTATATTCCATGTGCTGTAATGTTTCTTTATTGACATTTAAATATCCTGTCTGATCTACTAATGTACTCTCTCTTAAAGCATCTGGTGATGACATAGGTGGAGTAACATGTAGAAAATCATACTGAAACACCCCAAAAAACATTTCATAATTTCACTGGTTTGTCTTATAACTTTGAACTATTAAAGGATCAGTCTCCGATACATTTTAGAAATGAAAATTGGTTTATCATCCTACCGTTCTCCTCCGACTGGGCTAATGAAGACGGGCATATGCCATACAGTGTGCTATGAGGGAAATTTTGCCCGGACAGCTATGCTACGGCCTACTCTTACATCAAATTCCAATTGCCAAGGGATCTTTTACAGGCATACAAATGTATACACAGGACCTCAGTTTTTTTTTTATCTCATCTGAATGACTATTCAGCTGTTCTTGTCAGGCCCTCAATCCTGCACCACTGACAAGGGGAAACCACAGCATCAAACCAGATAAACTTTCTCAGCTAACACCAAGAGCGAATCTGCGACCTCCAGACTAGCAAGCCAGTGTCTTACCCACTTAGCCACCGTGGCTCCCCCGATACATTTTAAAGTGGTGATAATAACTGACAATATGCATAAAATGGATGGGCAACAATTAACAATTCTAGCAAGTTTGAAAAAAAACACTATTGTCAGGTTGACTCGACGGGGTTCCTCAATAAGATTAGCCAAACAATTCCTGCAAATCTGTAGAAAAATCTAAAAAACTCTCTGATTGGAGTGCACCGACAAACACGAGTGAGGCTAACAACATTGAGTATTTAACATGACCTCAAAACCTAATCTACATTCCTGTTATTGAGAAAATGACAAGAGATGAGGGGGAATCTTCCTGGCAGTGTGGGGATCCCAGTGGCTAAGTGGGTAAGATGCTGTCTTGCTAGTCTGGAGGTCGGGTGTTTGATCCCTGCATTGGGCGAGAAAGTTCACATAAAAGATCCCTTGACAGTTGGAATTCGATATAAGAGTAGGCTGTAGTGCCGCTGTCCGAGCAAAATTTCCCTCATGGCACACTGTATGGCGTATGCCCGTCTTCATTAGCCCAATTCAGAGCAGAACAGTAGGACGTTAAACCCCATTTCATTTCATTTCATTCCTGGCAGTGTGCATGATATAATGATATAAATACATTTACCTTTACTGATTTTGTTTCTCCCTTATCACTATTTGTAACAGCAAATATGGCTTCCTTCGATTCAGGTTTTACTTCTATGAGGTTCAGATTAAAATTAACACCAATATTTCTAATGAAAACAGAAATTAGGAAGTTTTATGTTATCAAATTTTTGTGTTAAACCCTTGACCTGCTGTATAATAAAATTGAAAAGCCGTTTGAATTAGGGGTGGGCGATATCTGCTATTTTCAACATTGCGATATTTCAGTATTCATATTGTGATATCGCTATATATTGTGGCGATATCCAGTATGCTGTTTGTTTGTAAAATAATCATGATATAGACCATAATTATAGCGTATCGCATTTTTTAATATTTTGTTTTGATTTTTCAGGATGACAGATCGATATATCAATGTAAACAGGGTTACGGGGGGGGGGCAGATTTTGCCTGCACATATATGAGAAACAAGTAACACCCATATTAGCGAGTCATAATATTTTAATCTAAGAAATAAAACAAAAGTAAAAACAAAACGAAAACACAACTAAAAACAAACCCACTTTATGCGGATAAAAAAGGGACAGAATTACGAAATTAGTTTTCATTTCCCATTCTTTGGGAATTTGTTTAAGTCACTATATAACTCCCTTTTTAAAACACCATATAGCTGTCTAAAATTCAAAAACAATTTACAACACTACTTAGTGTTCAAAATATGATCAGATAGTAAACACTAAAAAACTAATTGTATCCACTTGTAAAAACCACATAACCTTAGTTAAATAAGGAAGACAATTAAAACATATCAATGGTCAGTTTGCGACAATGTAAGGTGTAATACAGTTCAACAATTAAGCTCTCAGTTCAATCTAAATTTTTAGCTAAAAAGACCAACATGTTGACTTTTGCTGGTTTGAGGCGTGTTCTCGAACAAGTAACTACGTTTCCGGAAGTACTGAATAAACGTTCTGATGGACAGGATGTTGCAGGAGCACATAAGTATTTTCGGGCGCATAGGGCTAGGTGAGGATAAATATTGCAATTGTCCTTCCACCAACTTAACGGATTGTGCTCGAAGTCAATAGATGGGAGAAAAAGGTAACGCTCTAATTCTTTCATGATCTGTTCTTCCGGTGATAACGATATATCTGCTTCAGATGACTCTCTCCTCTTAAACAATTTTCCCAGATTCATCTTTGCTTTTTTTCTTAGCACCACGCTACCATCATCTTGGGACATACTTTCATTTGTATCAGATGGCGATGATGTGATAGACAGCGCAGGTGGTATTGTTTTTGTTGATGCGATGAATCTAATAAGTATGTCGTTGATCTCCGGCTGTGTATTTGGTGGGAGATATTTGTCTTTATACCTTGGGTCTAGCATTGTTGCTATTTCTAGAAGAATTCTTGATTCTGGGTCTGACTCAGCGGAATATTTTTCATTTAGATATTTTAAAATCTTAGATTTTATTTCTTTGGTCATCTCAGTATCCTCTGGTTCGTTGACTAAAATTTCATTATTTAGCAAATGTAATACTGGTACTACTGATGAAATCGATACGTAATCTTCACCACTTAGGGCATCGGTGAAATCGGCCAAAGGCGCCAAAGCTTTGTTAACAGACTCCATGACACATACAGTCTGCCATTTTGGTATTAATGACAAACTTTTGCGGTCTGAAGAGAGAACTTGCGTGATTGCTTTCTCTTGTTCTAAATATCTTCCTATCACTGATTGAAGAGATCCCCAACGCGTGTCGCAGTTTGATATTAAACAGTGTTCTGGCATATGTAATTTTTGTTGTATTTTCAAAAGTTCACGTTTTTTCTTCCAGGAATAAGAAAATGCTGATACTACTTTTTTACAGGAAGCTACAGCCTTATCGATGCGTTGGTCTTTTAATGCATTGTTTATGGCCAAATTCAATCTGTGTCCAAAGCACTGGAGACGAAGATAATTATTTAACGATGCTGCTTTTGTGATATTGGCTCCATTATCAGTTGTTATGCATACCATGTCAGTTTCTCGAAAGTCCCATGCTGTAATGATCTCCCTCAAACCCAATGCCAAATTTTCAGCAGTATGGTCAGACGGAAAATATAAAGTCTCCAGATGTCTGGACTTGAGTCGCCAATCCTCGCCTATAAAATGCACAGTGAAACCCAAGTAAGGCTCCATATTTCGGCTGCTCCACATATCTGTAGTAGCCCCAAAAAAACAAACAGGCCTACGTCTGATCTCCTCTAAAACCTTATCATGTACAGTGTTATATGAAGCAGGGATGGCAATGTCTGAAAAATATTTTCTACCAGGTATACAATATCTAGGATCAAAGGTTTTCATCATATTTCGGAAACCACTTTTCTCAACAGTAAATATGGGTATCATATCTTTAGCCAAAAAGTGAGTAACTGAATTTGTCATGGATATCCACTTCTTAGATTTTTTATCATAAGGAAATGAGTCCTTTAGCGACATCTGAGTGGTGGTGGTGGTGGTGGTGGTATGACAAGAATTCGAAGACAGTTTTCTATTTTTGATATTCTGTTCATTAAAACAACCTTCAAGTTTCTGTTTACATGCGGTATATTTCGTGGGGTGGTGAATTTTGAGGTGTTGATACAGGTTTGTTGTATTCCCTCCTTTAGCGCCGACTGTTCGCATACAAAATCGACAAAGAATAGTTGTCTGCTGTTCGTCAGATTCGTCATAGCCGAAATACAACCAAACATCGCTTGTACAATTTTTCTTTGGAACAAGTTGTCGTCCGCTTCTAAATAACGGGTTATCGTCAGATTGAGTTGAAACTGACGACGAATTGTCGCCGGCATCTTGTCTAATTCCATGAACTTCGATTTGCTCATCAAATTCTAACGAAGTCATTGCATTTACTTTAGCGAAGAATAATTTAATCTTTACCGGATATTTTCCCCGCATCAGCTGACTGTAGCTACGAATAACAAGACTTATTTTAAGAAGAAAGGGAATTAACTCTCATTTTCAATACCGCGATATTTTTCGAAGACGATATTAGTGACGATACGATAATGCAGCTATTTTTTTACAAGGCGATATTTTCGTTACTAGAATTTTCATACCGGTTATACCTACAATATCGAAACATCGCCCATCCCTAGTTTGAATGTTAAAAGTTACCATAATCATAATCTTATTTGTATATTTATTAAAAGCCCCATTGTGTATAATGATTTTAAATAAAAATAATTGTACAATAATAGTTACCTTTTTTTGACGATTTCAGAAAGTCGATCTGCATATTTCTTAACACCGAAAATAACACCAAGAGCAGTATTAAAACTGATATTAATATTTTCACGTCTTCCATTCTGAAAGAGGAGGAGCATGTATTTTGAAATGGTTACAGTCAATAAAATAAAGTAAAATCACTTGTATACCAAGTGTACAACATAAAACAATAAAGAACAAATTTTCATCTCAAGGACACCATGAATCTTGCTGCTGGCAATCTATCCCTACTTAGTACTTGCCTTCCTCCAGAAATCATCTGCCAAATACATAATCTTCTGTGGAGCACCTGCACATTTTATTGGTGTATTAGGAAACGTGAAAATAGCATTTCCACTCTGTAACTTCTGTAAAGCAGGAAATGTTTTGACCAGACTTTTGTCCCAATAATTCGAAACAACAGCAGGATCATGTTCTAAAGCTTCTAAGAGTCCTTTTACCTAAAATAACAAAACAGTATATAAACACTTTTCTATGATAGTCCAGCCGGGGATCCACTTTGGCCTGTGTTGGCTTGTCTCCCATATTTTCTGTATCTGCCCCTCTGTATTGGACAGGATGACTTATTTTAACCAGCTGTTGCCAGGCAAGATACGCCCACATTTTGCAAGAGATGGACAGAGAAAAAGCTAAAAAAAACAACCAGCGGCTCCCAGGCAAGATACGCCACATTGTGCAATAGATGGATAGAGAACACGCTAAAAACAAAAAAAACCCGATATCGAAAGAGACTGAAATTTTTGGGATATAAAGATATATTTTAAGTTTCATCAAAATCAGACAAAAATTGTGACCTTTAGACTAGAGGGTAAACAACTTTTGGATTACATACTTTTACACAATTTGCATACAAGGAGCGGCCATTTTGTCAGGCAGTTCAGTTAACCTTCATTAGGGTGTAACGGTGATACATTTAAACGTTCTTTAAAATCAGATAAAAATTGTGACCTCTAGAGGAACCACAAGCTAAAAACGTGATTTTTCGTACAATCAGGAGACATAATCCAGGGTACCCAACCTTGGTATTACAAACTTTTACACTATTTGCGTTTAAGGAGCGTCCATTTTGTGGGAATGTCGGTCCGATTTTTACGAAAATCGAACTCGATCAGCATCTGGGTGTAACGATGATATATGTAAACGATTTTTAAAATTGGATAAAAACTGTAACCTCTAGAGGGCCCACAAGCTAAAATCGTGATTTTATCGTACAATCAGGGTCCAGAATTCAGGAACTTATGGTCTGATATGCGCGAATATCAAAAGGAACCACGATCTTTGGATTATAAACATACATTTCAAGTTTCATCAAAATCAGATAAAAATTGTGACCTCTAGAGGAACCACAAGCTAAAAACGTGATTTTTCGTACAATCAGGAGACATAATCCAGGGTACCCAACCTTGGTATTACAAACTTTTACACTATTTGCGTTTAAGGAGCGTCCATTTTGTGGGAATGTCGGTCCGATTTTTACGAAAATCGAACTCGATCAGCATCTGGGTGTAACGATGATATATGTAAACGATTTTTAAAATTGGATAAAAACTGTAACCTCTAGAGGGACAGGATGACTTATTTTAACCAGCTGTTGCCAGGCAAGATACGCCCACATTTTGCAAGAGATGGACAGAGAAAAAGCTAAAAAAAACAACCAGCGGCTCCCAGGCAAGATACGCCACATTGTGCAATAGATGGATAGAGAACACGCTAAAAACAAAAAAACCCCGATATCGAAAGAGACTGAAATTTTTGGGATATAAAGATATATTTTAAGTTTCATCAAAATCAGACAAAAATTGTGACCTTTAGACTAGAGGGTAAACAACTTTTGGATTACATACTTTTACACAATTTGCATACAAGGAGCGGCCATTTTGTCAGGCAGTTCAGTTAACCTTCATTAGGGTGTAACGGTGATACATTTAAACGTTCTTTAAAATCAGATAAAAATTGTGACCTCTAGAGGAACCACAAGCTAAAAACGTGATTTTTCGTACAATCAGGAGACATAATCCAGGGTACCCAACCTTGGTATTACAAACTTTTACACTATTTGCGTTTAAGGAGCGTCCATTTTGTGGGAATGTCGGTCCGATTTTTACGAAAATCGAACTCGATCAGCATCTGGGTGTAACGATGATATATGTAAACGATTTTTAAAATTGGATAAAAACTGTAACCTCTAGAGGGCCCACAAGCTAAAATCGTGATTTTATCGTACAATCAGGGTCCAGAATTCAGGAACTTATGGTCTGATATGCGCGAATATCAAAAGGAACCACGATCTTTGGATTATAAACATACATTTCAAGTTTCATCAAAATCAGATAAAAATTGTGACTTCTAGAGTGTCCACAACCTTGGTATTACATACTTTTACACTATTTACGTACAAGGAGAAGGCATTTTGTCCAACAATTTCGGTCAGATTTTTACAAAATTCGAACTAAACCTTCATTGATGTGTAACTGTGATATACCTAAACAGTTTTTAAAATTGAATACAAATTGTGACTTCTAGCAGGTCCACAAGCTAACCAGCGGCTGCCAGGCAGGATATGCCCACATTTTCGAGAGATGGATGGAGAACAAGCTAAAACGAAAGTGATTTTTCCTACAATCAAAGGCCATAATGCAGGAAATTACAATTCGATATGCGCAAATATCGAAAGGAACCGAGATCTTTGGGTTATAAACTTACATTTCAAGTTTTAACAAAATCGGATAAAAATTGTGACCGCTATAGGGTCCACAACCTTGATATACCATATTTTTACGCTATTTGAGAACGAGGGGCGGACATTTTGTCTGTCAGTTTTGGGCCGATTTTTAAGAAATTCAAACTCAGTCGTCCTTAGGGTGTAACACTGATATAATAATACGTTTTTTTAAATCGGATAAAAATTATGACCTCTATAGGGTCCACAAGCTAAAAACGCGATTTTTCGAACAATCAGGGGCCATAATTCAGGAAGTTACGGTCCGATATGCGCGAATATCGAAGGGAACCAAGATCTTTGGGTTATAAACTTACATTTCAAGTTTCAACAAAATCGGATAAAAATTGTGACCTCTATAGGGTCAACAACCTTGATATACCATATTTTACGCTATTTGAGAACGAAGGGCGGCCATTTTATCTGTCAGTTTTGGGCCGATTTTCACGAAATTCGAACTCAGTCATCCTTAGGGTGCAACGGTGATATAATAATACGATTTTTTTAAATCGGATAAAAATTAAAATTGGATAATAATTGTGACCTCTATAGGGTCCACAAGCTAAAAACATGATTTTTCGTACAATCAGGGGCCATAATTCAGGAAGTTACTGTCCGATATGCACGAATATCGAAAGGAACCGAGATCTTTGGGTTATAAACTTACATTTCAAGTTTCAACAAAATCGGATAAAAATTGTGACCCCTATAGGGTCCACAACCTTGATATACCATATTCTTACGCTATTTGGGAACGAACGGCGGCCATTTTGTCTGTCAATTTTGGGGCGATTTTCACGAAATTCGAACTCAGTCATCCTTAGGCCATAATTCAGGAAGTTACTGTCCGATATGCGCGAATATCGAAAGGAACTGAGATCTTTGGGTTATAAACTTACATTTCAAGTTTCAACAAAATCGGATCAAAATTGTGACCTCTATAGGGTCCACAAGCTAAAAACGTGATTTTTCGTACAAACAGGGGCCATAATCCATGAAGTTTCGATCCGATACATGCCAATATCGAAAGCAGCCGAGATCTTTTGGGGATACACCTATATTTCAAGTTTCGTCGAAATCGGATAAGAATTGTGACCTGTAGAGAGCCCACAAACAATTGCGTCCGGACGGACAGGGGCGACGGCATAATACGTCCACATGAAAATGTGGGCGTATAAAAATGCGATTTTCCAAACAATCAGAGGCAATAATCCAGGAAGTTACGTTCGGATATGTGCGATTATCGAAAGGAACCAAGATCTTTGTGATATAGACATAAAATTTAAAGTTTCATCACAACCAGATGTTTACACTATTTGCATACAAGGGATGGCCATCTTGTCTGACAGTTTTGGTTGGATTTTCACGAAGTTCAAACTCAACCAACATTACGTTGTAACGGTGATATATTCGAATGTTTTTGTAAATCAGATAATAATTGTGACCTCTAGAGGGACCACAAGCTAAAAACACAATTTTTTGTACAATCAGCGGCCACAACCTTGATATACCATATTTTTACACTATTTGTGTACGAGGGGCAGCCATTTTGTCCCGCAGTTTTGGTCTGGGTTTTACGAAATTTGACCTCAACCGTAATTATGGTGTAACAGTGATATATTTACACGTTTTTTAAAATTGGATAATAATTGTGACCTCTAGAGGGACCACAACCTAAAAACGCGATTTTGCGTACAATCAGGGGCCATAATTCAGGAAGTTATGATCAATAGGCTGGAATATTGAAAGGAACCAAGATCTTTGGGTTTCGTACAATCAGGGGCCATAATCCATGAAGTTATGGTCTGATACATGCCAATATTGAAAGGAACCGAGATCTTTGGAAGAGAGACCTACACTGTATACTTCAAGTTTCGTCAAAATCAGATAAAAATTGTGAACTGTAGAGTGTCCACAAACAAATTGTGGACGGACGGTCGTCCGGACAGGGGTCACAGCATAATACGTACACATGCAAATGTGGGCGTACATGTATATAAAGGCATGTCTTGACAATCAAATCTATGCATAAGACTATGCAGATATTACTTTATCACAGGTTTTGACGGGTTAACCAATCGATATACATTTTTGAACATGCCCTAAAAAGAAATGACTTTAGATGAAGTAGAGTAAACCAAAAACCTATTTTGAGTGAAATGGTGTAAAAATGATTTGGTATTAAAGGACAATATTAATGTCAGTCATTATCACATATGTGATAGAACTGGTTAACCCTTTCAATGCTAGACGTAAATCCACTGCCTGTGCTAGACCCATTTTTGAGGAAAAATATGGGATTTTGAACTAAATGCCAAACAGTACTTATAAAAGCTTTTTTGGAAATTCTTTTTGTGTGTTGGGATGGGCATGAAGTTGGACTATGAGGAAAAAATAGAATTTTGGAAATTTGCATAATCATATAGTCACGTGACCTCATGGCGGCCATTTTGGATTCCTCGTTTTTCACTAAATCTATGACAAAAACAATTTTTCTCCATGAAATACTTATGGGATATTGGGTATTGATAAAGATATATAAAATGAACAAAAATATCAAGTTTTGATTATTTTTTCTTTTATTCAAAAGAAGACAGGAATTTATGAACGATACCAGAATCGTGAATAACTATGAAAGTTGAAGATTTACTCGTCTCCATCAGAAGAATCTCCATTGTCTCCATCAGGACTTAGAGAGTAATCAAATGCTGTGTGATAGGCCTTGAAACAATCCTGATCTGCATGAAGACCTGGCTGGCTTGGACAGTCGGGGCTAATCCAAACCGTCCTGATTTCTCTACCAGCCCTGCTGCGAAGTCCGCGCGCCCAGCACACACGACACATTTTATCCTTTCTGTACCCCGTGTTTCCAGCCTTTGTCTCTCTTTTCTAATGAAAGTGCCTCCCTGTAAGCCTCTGTAATGTGTCTGTTCTTATAACTTCTTTGCTCAGTTTCGGACTGGAACTTATAAGTATAGCCAGGAGGTCCTTGAGGTCCGCCAGGAAATCTTTGGTGGACGGCGTGAACTTGCGATGAAGTTTATGTGCACACAATACACATGTCATGAACAACCTCAAAGCTACCTTTTTGTACCATTTGTATGTCTTCCGCACCACGGTCACACTGTGGAGTTGCTGATCTACCATATCAACCCCACCCATCTTGTGGTTATAAGCAATGATGCAGGCAGGTTTGGAAATAGGATTTCCATCCTTGTCATCTTTTCCAGTAGGAATCATAGCAGCACTTCCCTCTGTGGTCAACATACATACTTCTTTGGGTTTGCCATTTGATTTGTCTTTATTTGCCCTGAACTTTACAGCTTGCATGTTCCCTGTTTTTGATTTCATGAAACATGATGACCCCTTCTCAAGACGTCTAGTGCCAAGGTCACCAGGATAATTTGGGTTGATGGTCCCGCAGAGGTTTGTATCGTGATCAAGGAGGTAGGTTGCCAAAGCAGGAGATGTGTAGTAATCAAGGAACAACGTGTGGCCAAGGTCAAGATATGGCTGCATCAGATTCAGAGGGATTCGCTCAGTTACCAGCATTTGAGTCTCTGGATCATCATGATCTCTAAATGTGTTTTCACCGGAGTAGACTATAAAATCAAGAGAAATACCCTCGGATATAGTAAGTTCATAGAACTTTATTCCAAAGCGTGACCTCTTAGTTCGGATACATTGTTTGAATAGAAGTCTGCCCTTGAATAATAACAGAGACTCATCAACGCAGAGATCTTTATCGGGGGCATATACCCGCCTCATGCGTTCCCTCATGTTTCTGATCAGTGGCCTTACCTTGTAAAGCTTGTCCCTATTGGGGTCTTTTGGGTCATATACTGGGTCTTGATTATTTGCAAAATGCAGGAATTTCAGAAGAAGGAAGAACCTATCCCTTGTCATTATTTGCCCAAATATAGGGGTTTCAATCAGATCTAGCTTGGACCAATACATCTCCAGCCTCGTCTTATGAATAATACCCATCAGTCCAAGTAAACCAAAGAATGTCTTCATTTCGGGTACAGTAGTGTCTTTCCATGAATGAACCCTGGAAAATTCTTTGAAGTTGTTTTGATCCTCCTGGATGAACTGGTCAGCATATCGATTTGTTTCCTCTGCAATATGCCTGAAGATATCGTCAGTGAAGTAGCATTGTCACCAATTCTAACTTTGAGTCTCTCGCACCCACGAATGGAATTTGTTTTGGCATATAACTGTCATTCTGATCAATGTCCCAAACTATCCTGGGGTTCTGAGCTCTGGCAGGCCTCCGCCCCTGTCCTCTAGCGTGCGGCCGGCCCCTCTGATCCCTAACAGGGCCACCTCTGTCACCCCCATGGCCACCACAAACACAAACACGGTGGCCACGAACAGAGCCACCACGAACACGTGGACCACTACCAAAACCACTATTGTTATTCAACATAGGCCTACCAGGAACTGGTCCACGAGCAATGCCACCACGAACACACGGACCACGCCTGCCTCTGCCACGACCACGTTCGGCTTGCACTTCACTGTTTTCACCCTCACTTTCATCTTCTGTTCCCATATTATTATCACTATAGTCAGTCAATAAATCTGCATGTTGAACATGAAAGGGTTGAACAGGTTTCAAATATAATTTTAACACAGAGATCATTGTTACGACAGATGTGTTATGAAGATTTCAAGAAAGGGAAGTGACGAATGCAAAAGGAAAACACTAGTTATCCTTCTATATAACAGACTAAAGTGACTAATGACAACAGATTCACAGGCAAATTTCTGCTCACTAATAATTCCCTCGAAGACCAAAAGTTGTTATATGAGACAGTGGGAGGATATCTGACAATTTAAAAAAATAATTGACTGTCACTAGGTAAGAGAAAAACAGAAATAGTCTGCATAAATCACCATGTTTTTATTAAGAATAGAATGAATAAAAACAAGGGAATGTACAGACTATTTTCGTTTTAAGACGCGGTTAATTAATTGTCAGTTTTCTCATGACCTGAGTTTGTGAAATATACATGCTACATGTTGTTATTATAAATTATTAATTATTGAGATGAAATTTAATTTTTTTAGTTTAATGATGTTCTATATCAGCAATAACTAATGTCAGTTACTTGGTCGTTGAAAACCCAACGGTAACCAGTGTCCGTGATTTATTCACATTTATTAAATATTTATAGATTAAAATATCTGTTGCACAATATAGCTGGGCATCGGAAGACTTGATCATAATAAATAAGTTTAAATTATTAGTGATATATGCTTCAAATTAACGGTTCGTTAAGTCATTCATTCTTGGCATTTCATTTCTTTATCCTTCCCTACTTTGAAAGGTTACGAAATGACCTGTTCCAAACTGGTTGATGATTTGTTCTGACATAAATAATTAAAAGCATACCCTTGGATTTTTAAATACAAAATAAGTTAGATTATTTAACAGGGCAGTCAAAGAATTTACTACACAACGCCATGGCAATAGCCCGTATGTTAATTGGTGTCAACTTTGAACCCATCATCGGCACACGGCATCATGATAATATAAATACTTTTTTTATTTTGTCTATCTTAATCAAACTGTTTACTTTTATTTGTATCTCTGTGTCCTTTTGAGATTGTTTATATAGTGTTGTTAATAAAATACAGCGAAAGGCGTGGCAGCAGTTCTGGGACCGTTCCTAGTTAAAAAATAAAATAATTTAGCAGGAATTAAAAGACATTTATATCTTTCTGCGAATTTTATTACAAATGACAAGTGCCTTATAGAGTGTATATGTGGTTTTTGGTGAATGTTGTAGCTACCATTCCTTGGTATGGATGACAGATATGATACGGCTTGATCACTTCCGTTTTGCAGATGGACTCCGTATATTTTTTCACATTCTAGCCTACTTTACTTATCACCTACGGTGTCATGTTCATTGATAAATAGTGGATTTTAATGCATTAATTCATTGTTCATATTTAAAGGCAAACAAATATAGTTTTAAAGGACAAATTTTGGACCTCACTAAATTTGACCAAATAATTATGGAAGTGCGTAATTATTACGGATGAAAACGGACATGCAGGCGGTACATGAGAAACAAACAATTAATTAACCGCGGCCTTATCTTTACTGGAACATGTTTAACCAGTTCTGTCACATATGTGATAATGACTGACACCAATATTGTCCTTTAAAACTCTTCATGCTAACAAAAGAGAGAGAGAGAAATGGGGTTTAATGTCCACTCGACACAAACTAGGTCATTTCGGGACTAACATATGGTTTTAATTTTATTTCAATAATTCGCTTGCGCGTAGGGGTCTTTAGCAGTGGGAGGAAACCAAAGGACCCGGAGAAAACCCACGAGGTTGGACAGGCGACCCTACTCCTTGTCACGTACAACCGGGGATTCGAAACCACGCCAGTCGACTCAATGACAGACTTTATGATACAGCGCGCGCACGCTAACCATTCAGCCATCCAACCCCCCCTTCATGCTGACAAAATCAAAGATAACAGATAAATGTTGGCTGGTGATTTTACTGAGATAACATCACACAGGCTGTAAAAACTGTCAATTATCTCTTCATTTACTTAAAGACACTTCCCAGAAAAGTATTTATCGGGTGGTTATTTCCAATAAAAGTATGAAAATTTTGGTATATATGGAAAGTAGAAATATCCAATGTTACTAGAAAAATACTGGATTCCCTGAAAAACACTCATGGAGCGCATACAAAAATGTAAGGGTTTCCCTAATCGACAGCCCGACAATTAGGAGTGTCTGCATGCGTGACGTCGAAGGTTGCACACCTCTAGAGATTGAGCGCTTGGTGTACATGTTGATAAACTTTATGAAGACTTAGACTTACAACACTTTCTGAGATAAAAATCACGGAAAAAGACGCGGGCAGTAGATAATCAATGCATTTAATTAGGCTTCGATATTTGTAATAAATAGTCAGCAATTAAAGACAACGTTGTTTTGTGTATGCAATGAATTCTCCTCCAACTTCGCACCTGTTGCTAAGTACCGACAGAGGTAAGTCACATAACACAAACATGACCTCTTTTGATCGATTTTTTATAGCCAGGGTATTCCCTGACAATTGCAATGTTTTGAGAAGGATTTGAAGCAAAATTATGATAAATTAATCAGTTTGAATATGTTTTTAGTCCAAATATATCATCAAATCACCCAACGAGTTTTTATCCGGGAATGTATCTTTAAAAGCACTGGGGAATAAAAACTACTTACATGACCATAATTCAACTGCAAACCCATGGCAACAATAAGATATTCATATTGGACCTGAAATGAAAATACACCTACCAAAGTTAACATAGTAACCTCTGTAATAAATTATTGATATTTTAAATACAAATATATCATATAACTGTACAGCATCTAAGGCCTAAAAAATTGTAAATTGTTATAGTTTTCAAAATCATAATCCACAAGAATATTCTCATTCATGTTTTTCATGTAGGCTAGTATGTAGAGTCAAAAGATTAACATTCTACAGAAATAAACCACATACAATTGTAATCTAATACTTTCTAAGACAAAAAATTTCGGTATTAAAATCTGTATCTAATAAAATAAAATATTACATTTGTTCCATTAGCTGTGGTCACAGTATTATTGATTGGATCAAATTTTACAGCTTTATCTTTTATCCATTCACAACCACTTGGAATCACAGACTTCATAGAGCGGGAAGAATCATCTAAACTTTTTATTCCACCACCAACCAATGTCCACATGGGCTGATAGTAATGGGTCTAAAATATGATGAACACACATTCTTACAAAAATAATCAAGACAAAACAATGCATAAAATAATTTGACTGACATTTTCAATACTGGGTATTTATTAATTTTTCATTATCTATTTTTGAATATGATAATGATAGCAAGAATGACCAATAGTCTACGCTCTTATCTTAATCTTACATAAGGTGCCTTTTAAACGCGGTAATCATTTTTACTTGACCTTATTTAATGTTTAAACTATTATACATTAATTTTTGACTAATTTTCCTAACTGAATTTAATTGAAAATATATAATAGATGGTCATATGTCATCCTTTTTGGGGTCCGATTTGAAGGTATTGTAATTGGCACTCGACTATGGGGTGCCGTTTGTAAATTAATTATTTAGCTTTTTATATAGCAAAAAACACTAGATTTAATTTAAATTTATATATATATAGTTAAATCTCGACTTTTGTGCAAATTTTTCACTTTTAATATTTAAACTAAAAATACAACAAAAACTCAATATTTAACATAATATTTATAAATATTTTTTGATTTGTCTCTATTTTCATACTTAACATTTAGCATTGAATATTAAGACCAAAACAAGAGATTTGATGATATATAAATATTTAGCTAAATATTTAGTTAAATGTTTAAACATTTAGCTAAATATATATTTAGTTAAATGTTAAAATATTTAGTTAAACATTTATATATTTAGTTAAACATTTATATATTTAGCTAAATAATATATATAATTATATATTTAGCTAATCATATAGTTAAATTTACAAAGCGCAACCGTACCACGCGTTTGTAAAATAATTATTGTTGTAAGCGACTTCACACTAAACGATGACGTAGTGTACAACTTTCCATTGACTGCACCTTGCCTTGATCTGTGCGAACGGCACGGAGTACCGCGGCCAAGATTCGGGTTACAAGTTCGTGGTCAGCTTCCATTTCTAATTGCTAGTAGGCCTATTGTGCCAAGGCTCACGTGTCGGGTACACGTCATCATTTTATGCGCAGTTTTTTGTGTCGCTTACGATAATAGAAATATTGGCGGGACCACAAATATATATTTAGTTAAATATTTATACATTTAGCTAAACATATATATTTAGTCAAATGTTTATATATTTAGTTAAATGTTTATATATTTAGCTAAATATATATATTTAGCTAAATGTTTATATATTTAGCTAAATGTTTATATATTTAGCTAAATGTTTATATATTTAGCTAAATGTTTATATATTTAGCTAAATATTTAACTTTAGATTTTTCAGTGATTTAGGATTTAGCATTTATACCTATGAAAAACAGCACATTTAGCTATATATTTAACTAAGCGATGTGAAATCAAGATATAACATTTAAAGTTTTTCATAGACCAAAAACTCGACTTTTAGCTACAATATTTTTTGATATTTACATATATGCCATTTTTGTTCTAATATTTATCTAAATATATATATTCGGAGTTAAATCTAATGTTTTTTTACTATAAAAAAAAATTAAATAATTATTTTACAAACGGCGCCCCATACTCGACCGCCAAATACTTGGCCTACCCCATTATGATAAAAAAAACCCACACACATGGAGTATTTTATGTCATCAACACTTACATCTGCTGGTTCAATAAGGGTAACATTTCCGGCACCTATTTTTCGGACAAACTTGGCAGCAGTGGAACAACCTCCCGTTCCTCCTCCAATGACAAGAAGTCGACACTTTTTCTGACTTTCTCTTGCACACGACTTGCTAAAACTTCGTGAAATTTGCGAAATAAAGTTGATACAGCCTGGTGAGCAAATTTTCTGTGAATTCATGCTGAACTTTATAAAATGTCTTTAGATCTGGTGTTATACCAATCTATGATTGATACAATTATCGCAATTACACTATTGCATCAACACGAAAGATTTCATGAGCGGAACATCGACCTGATTTGACATCTGGGCACGTGTTCAACAACAATACTGTCTTCAGCAACACGACTCCTTATTGGATACTATTATTAGATTAACCAGTAAATTTGAGTAACACAAACACGGCATTAAGCAATAATTCATGTCAATGCCAGGTCAAAGTATGGTCACGTTCACATCATAGAACTATACGATCCATGTTCACATAAAGATGATAAAGGGACAGGGGCAAGCGGGAGACGTTTATATAAGTATTTTTTTTTTTTTTTTACAATCGACACTGTTATTTTATTTATTTTTCTTTTAACTTATTGTGAAAAGGTACATTTATTGGTTGCATCATTGTATTGAATTGGCTAATTATATCACATTGCTAGAAATGGACACAGATCACTAAAGATTTCCCCATTGACTCCAATGTTAATTCTCGTATCTTAGACCGGCTCTAACTTTTTCCCAAATTTTCGTTGGGTAGAACGCTTTCTACCACAGATGGAGCAACATGTGGCAACCACTTGCCCAAAAGCACGTATGAGGTTCTTCATGAAAAACTTGAGATACACAAGCTGGAAGTAGAAACAAGTAAACATGCAATTTCAGGCCCTACATTTCAACCTAACCAACCTCTCAACTCTTGTATCCTTCCGCATCAAAATTATGAATATTCACCAAAACCTGGCAGAAAATGTATTTTCAAACCCTTTTCCTTGATTCTACACCAAAAAGTCAACAAAAATCGCCATGCAAAAGGGGGGAAAAGGAAAAGGGAGAGGAAGACTAAAAATAGCTTTGGCCCTTGTTTGTGACGGCGTAGGAATATTTGGTGATCTGTGTCCAAATAATTCATTTTTTCCCTAGAAACATCTCATTATTTCCTAAGAAATAACACATTTTCTGTGCCAGAAACCATGGAAATACAAACCTCTATGGCCAGAAACACACGTACTACAAAAAATTCATATCTTGCTCGAAATTCTATTTTCTACCTATGTTAATCTGTTCAATGCTCGCAAAATATGCATTATATGTGCAAATAAAACGAATCGTTTCTCGCACTTTTTTTAAAAACTGTTTCTAGCAATAATTCCGTTACTGCAGACTTAAATTAATACTTCACTGAGATAGGGAAACCGGTGCGAATACATGAATTTTGAAAAAGATGATGGTGGTGAAAACTAGATTCTTGCCGAGTGGCCGAAAAACCCACAGCAAAGTGGAGTAAAAAATGCATTTTGTTGCACATTTGAACAGTTTGCGAAATTCTATTTCCATGTCATATTATATATACTAAACAGCAAAAACAAAAAAACAAAAACAAAATCAGAGAGGCACTTTAAGCAAATCATTCTAGAAAACGACTTACTAAATCGCTCAAACCAATTTTTTTGTGAACAGTATGTTGACACAATTAGTGATTATAATTCATCACAATTCCAAGACGTTACGAGAAGGTTTAGAGTATCAGGTGTGCCCACCGCGAGTGTCAATAACAGCAACGCAGCGTCTGTACATGGAGTGGAACAGACGATTGATGAACGCCATTGGCACCTGGAACCACACTCTCAGAAAAACCTGGCGCAATGCCGCGCAATCCATCGGATAGATTTGGTCTCAGTACGACGTTAAGTCTCGTCTGAATTTCATCCCAAAGACGTTTATTCGGGTTAAAGGGCTGACCAGTGCATAACGTTGACACCGTTCTGCTGTAGAAAGTCCCGAGTAACTCTGGCTATATAACTAATAGTTCTATGACGTGTGAAATGTGGTATGACGTGGGTCTGAGAGCTTGATGGATGTAGCGCACTGCTGTGATGCCGCCTCTTCTCCCTGGACCAAGATTTTGGAACACCACGGGACCCACCCTCTGGTTCAGGCCGATTCCACCCCAAACCATTATGCTTGGACCTCCCCATGAGTCTCGTTCCATGACACCTTGGTCAGAATAACGCTGGCCATTTCGACGCCATATTCTGGTCCTGCCATCTGCAGTTGATACGCAATACCGACTCTCATCAGTGAACAGAACAGTTCTCCATTCCCTGTGTCGCCAGTTCTGGTGTTGTTGGGCAAACTGTAGACGTTCACGTCGATGGCGAGGGGTGAGGATCGGTCCACGGTAAAGTCTACGGCAATGGATGTTCTTTCTGGTGAGACGTCGGCGCACTGTATCGGTACTGATGGGTCTTCCGTGTATTCCCACTGTCTGACGTGCTGTCTCAAATGCCTGTGTGAATTACGGGATTCTGCGCGTGCTGTCGCACAACATGGCGGTCTTGTCGCCTTGTGGTAACCCTTGGTTTACCAGTTCGGGGGCGATCATCCGTGGTGTCGGTTGCCCGAAAGCGTTGCTAAAGCCTGTAGATGGTCCGAACATTGACCTGGACGTGCTGTCTCAAATGCCTGTGTGAATTAAGGGATTCTGCGCGTGCTGTCGCACAACATGGCGGTCTTGTCGCCTTGTGGTAAACCTTGGTTTACCAGTTCGGGGGCGATCATCCGTGGTGTCGGTTCCCCGAAAGCGTTGCTAAAGCCTGTAGATGGTCCGAACATTGACCTGGACGTGATTGGCAACGGCTTGGCCAGTGTGTTCGGCGTCGAGTCTTCCAAGCTCACGGTTCCTCTGAGCTGTCGTGAGTCGTAGCATTCTGCTGTCGTTATAGTGTGAATGATTTAACCAGGTATGGGGGTGCACAGTGGCAGATTGGGCAATCGCCCGAAGGGCTGGTCGGAGAAAAAATAATAAATTTTTTTTTTTTTTTGTCCAATTCGTCTAAAAAACCTTTTCTGCTGAACATTATATAGGGGGGGGGGGGGCGGGCATGTATTGGACCGGCCATGGAGCGATGATGAACATGTTGTATGTGGCCGGTGGCTTTAATGGGCTGCCACGCCATCACTGGAGTCTGGAATGGGCTGGTATAATAGACTTTCTGGGCCGGGTGTGCTGGATGTGGGCGGGAATTCGGAATCCTGCAAATTAACTAATTATTGAATCATCTGCACCCTGTTTGTGGGGATACGCCAGAAACGTCTGCCGATGGTTCGTAACTCAGCAAAATTTGATGATAGCTGGTCTGCTGGCTGAATATGAGTGCGAGACGATTTCCTGGGGCTGGTGTTAAACATTCCTTGACGTTTTTATATTATTTGACAGAGATTATAATCAGATATGCCACCAAATCGCATATTTGGGGTTCATTTTTCAAAATTTTCCCGAGGGAGAGCCCCGCGGACCCCCCGTCCGGGCTCTGCGTTCAGTAAAAGGGGCCGCTCCGACACGGGAGCCCGGGCCGGTTCCCGGCCCCAATCCGCCCCTGGGGGTGCATTAGGGCTGGTATGGCGGTGAACAGCACGTGCAGCATAAGTTACATGGAAATCATGGAGAACACATATTACCATCCCAGAAGTCAGGTTGCGATTTTGAGAACATTTACTGGGTTCAATTCTGTGTTTGGGAAGGAGCCTTATTGCTCAGGTCAAGTTGGAGATGTGGTCACAATATACAATAAAAACATTTAGCAAGTTTTATGCAATGCGTCTATTCAGAGTAATATACCAACCTGACGTTTCTTTTGCTGCTTAGTATATATACTCTTCAAAAAAAAGTAGGGGATATTCAGAAACAATACAAAACTGCGGAAATGCACTGCTGTTTTTATTAGAGGTAACCAGTGTATTAATAACAGGCCAATTGCCGACACATGAACATAACCAGTTCATATGGGCGGCTTATCTGACAGCCCCATTTCACTCACAAAGAGATACACCGTTAAAAGTGAAAATGGACGTTTTTGATTTTTGTCTTAATATAATGAGTAATTGCTCCACCAATACCCAGACATTCAGCATTTCGTCGTGGCATGCTCCTAATCAACCGTCCAATCACGATTTGGGGCAATCTGACCCACTCCTCTTGCAGTGTCACGGCCAGTTCTTGCAGTGTTGTCGGTTGACGTTGACGAACACGTCTCTCGATCAAATTAAACGTAACACACTAAAGCAAAGATACGCTAAACACTAAATCGTATGCAAGAACCGATATGAAAGCAAACATGAATAGATAAACCAGCACGCGGCAGTTTTCATCAACCTACCTTGAAGGGTCAAATTTGACAATGAACCCCTCCCGCGTGTATGGCGCTATTGCGTGTCGCATGTGCAGCTCAGTGGTTCTGTTGGGGCGATAAGTTCTTCATCTTTGAACATACTCTCAAAGCATGTCAAGTGTCCATGACTATTTATCATATCACAACCTGCATAGGGCTGTGGGTAGCATAGTTCTGATTTCTTACTGATATGTGGAAACACCTATAAGGTAGCCTACCATTCCCGGAAAAGAGACACAAGAAAAGAAAGAACCCCGGGCGGTCTCAGCCAAATAAATATATTCTAGCTCTTTCAAGTCGTTCGGATGGGACGGAAAACCGAGGTCCCGTGTACACATTAGCGTGCACGTAAAAGATCACTTGACAGTTGGAATTCGATATAAGAGTAGGCCGTATAGTGCCGCTGTCCGGGCAAAATTTCCCTCATAGCACACTGTATGGCGTATGCCCGTCTTCATTAGCCCAGTTCAGAGCAGAACAGTAGGACGTTAAACCCCATTTCATTTCATTTCAAGCTTGATTTTTTACTTTTTGTAAAAAGGACATCGTTGAATGTGTCTTGATATTTTATAACATTTTATATATTGACAAATCAGTTGTAAGTTGTAATATGTCTTATGTACCAACAGGTTGAAGATTGACATGACAATGTATAAACAATTTTCTTAAAATAATACATGTTACTTTTTAATTTTCCAAATGATCGGTCTTGCGTCATGCACTATCATGTTAGTCTACGATCCTGTTTGGGGCCGTATATAAAATCCCCCAAACCCGAAAAATATGTTTATATCCCAAAAATCTCAATTTCTTTGGATATTCGCACATACCAGACCATAACTTCCTGGATTATGGCCCCTGATTGTACAAAAAAATCCACATTTTTAGCTTGCATGTGGATCCTCTAGAGGTCACAATTTTTATCGGATTTTAAAAACCGTTTGAATATATCGTTGCACCATAAGGAAGATTTTTTCGTTTTATGGTAGCTAAGTCTCTAACTCAATATCATCCACCAAAGTCTTCGACATTGAAAACACGAATTATTTGTCAATTTACCGGGTGAAGGTGGGCTTCTGATATCTAATATTTAAGACAAAACAAACAGTTTACCTCGAAGAACGAGGCTAGACATTCCACATATGGGTTAAGGTTTGCAGATTTCGTCAAAATCTGGAGATGTAAACAGGGTTAGCGCTAACCCTATACAAGTCATGTCAAACAGTGGCATCATATTCTTATCTGAAGAGCAGGCGCAATAAATACTATGCAGACTTGAATAACCAGACGATAGAGGTTGCCATTCGGTTGAGACTTCTGGCGTATTTCGCCGAACATAACTGACTTGAGATTAGAGTAAAAACGGAAATGATTGAATGTAAATCAGTTTAGCCTATATATACATTCATATTACATTATTAGAAGCGTTGCGACCCATTTGTGTCAATTTCTAGGCGAAATAGCTCCTTTAAAGCGAAACCATATTGGTCATTGGGTAGTCAGAACAATGGATTGTTATTATAAACAACTGGATAATTCCTGGGGATTTGGTGAGGGGGGGGGGGGGGCATTTTCTTGCAATTTCAATACATACAAATTTCGAGTATGTCGAATTTTTCGATAGGTTTCTACATTGAACCATCCCATCAAGAAAGAAATAAACGCCTTTCCTCTAAGCCCGTTTCCCTTTGGGACACGTATCAATCGACTTGTTTCTGAAGATGCAGCGTTTTGAGGAATAGCCTACATAATAAGACCTTTGACCTTTTAAGATCTTTGACCTTTAGAGAGCCTTGACGGACCAACAAATATGGATACCGAAAACATACTCCCGTAATGAAATTAAGCATAATCATAATATAAAATCTTTATTAACTACAAGGTTAATATGTGTATAGGAGTAGCGAGACATTGACACGTTTCGCAAATTAAAAAGATTCATATTTACATTCCTTAATCCAATAAACTTATTTACAATCGTTCCCGCAATATGACGTGTCAATGTTGCACTTTCCATACTCACATTACTTTTATGAAAATTACAAAAAATGTGTGTATTGAACTAAATTAAAATAATTCTATTTCTACCCCCCCCCCCCCCAAAAAAAACCCACTTAAAAAAGTCGTGATCGGTATAAATTCAATTCTTCGAGAGAATTGATGGCAATTTCCACAAAACTGTAATGTTTATATGATGACAAAATCAGTAATCATTTCTCTCTCTCTCAAGGTCTTCAAGACGACTTTTTTATATCTGTTTTGCGGATGGCTTCCCATTATATAGGTCACATTTTCGAAAACATAAAAAGATATAAAAAAAAAGATATACATATCATTTTACGCCTACAAATTCACTGTCACAAAAATATACACAACTATTTTGAAAAATTATTATTAGAAAAACAAGAATACATTGTACAAAACCCTAACAGTCTTTTCTAAAGGAGGGATTAACTTTATAAGACTTAAGGTTAAAATTTGACCTGTAAAATTTTTAGTAAAATAATAACAAAACAAATCATATTAGAAATTTTGGACATTGTCGACTACAACAACATTTGATCTTCTTCTTCTTGGGCTTCGTGAACTAGAATGCGAGTGTTGACTACGAGTACGGCTCCTCCTTACTCCGGGATCCAATGTTGCCATTTTAACCTCGCGAGATATTTTATGTTGCTCCTTTGATGTACCAGGGTACTCTGTAACTTTCGGAGAGCGGGACCTCCTGGTCTTTGATTTCGTATTCGGTAATGATAGGGACTCGGGTTCTGACGCAGGGCTTATTGGTGACATGTCTGCTGTGGCACCTAGAGAATAAACAGATCCAACACCGTCTGGTTCTGAAGTTGTCCACCTGTCGGAACCAGTATCTGTAACTTTCTCAGCTTTCTTCTTTTTAGTTTTTATATTCACATCAGTAACTACTATAACAGGTTTAGCGCTGGGTGTAGTTTTTGTATTGGTAGATTCTGAATTGAGTTGGGAACTCGCTGAAATTTCTTTACCCTTCTTCTTCTTCTTTTTACGTTTTTTCGTTTCTAGCTTTTTTAGTGTTTCATCTAGCTCTTGTTCCAATCCAATGCCCAATTTAAATGTTTCTACTTTCTTTTCCAATGACGGTGAGCGACTTTTTTTCAGTAGTACCCCATTCCCAGGAAGTTCAAGTGGTGGCAGTGATGGACGAGGAGGTTGCTCTTCCGTCGTTTTCTTCACTTTCTTTTTTTTCTTCTTCTTTGAAGTAGAATCAACATCATCAGGTTTTCTAATAGAAGATTTCTGTCCGACTTGCAACTGGCGTTTCCTTTCCTGTGAAATTGAAGCTTCTAATGTAGATCTTCTTTCGGAGTCGCATTCTGAGGCAGTATCTGTTGAGTCACTGTAAAGGGCACTGAAAGGATTTGTAAGTGATATGAGACTGCTCTCACTTTTGGGTGTACTTTCATCGTCACTTTTCTTGCATGTTCCTTCGTCGCCTGGATCCGTGTCATTAATAAACACGTTGTCGTCATCATCCGGAACAAAATCTCCCTCAAGCACTACCGATGCCATATCTATTTGCCAGTCTGGTTTATCTGTGACACCGGACAAGGCTGCAGACATTGTTCTTTGATACAGTGACGGAAGTCTGTTTTTTTTAACTGTAGCTTCTTGAATTTCCGAAGTGCCCGTCTCTGAAATTTGTCCTTGCTCTTCAGTATAGCTTTCTTGTTTTTGGTCAATACTAGTTTTCATTTCTTCATCCATGCACGCAGCGGTTTCAGTACCCTTCGGTCCCTCGTCTTGTCTGTCAGTTAATACCCAATCGTCATCTATATGAGCGTCGTCTTTTAAATCATCATCAGTGTCGTTAACATGGACCATTTCATATTCGGCATCTAAAGATGCAGAATCTGATTCTGACGAGACAGAATCAGGGGGAGTTAAAAGATCAAACTGCTGAGCTAACCGTGAAAGATGTTCTTCTTCTGAAGGACCATCACCTTCCCCAGGTTGAATTTGGTGTAAATTAAGTCTGCCGACAAGTTGATCTAGGTCCAATTCTTGCCCCTGTGCCTCCGTATGTATTTGTGAAAGTCCAATTTGATGTCGATCAAGGTCAGAATCCTCATCAGATTCATCCAAGAATTCTGAAAACTGTTTTCTCAAATCTCTATCTGCTGGTATACCATCGTCGTCCTCAGCATATTGGCTGTACTGGACAACTTCACTATCCAAATTGTCTTCTGATAAGAAGCCCCAACTATGAAGGTAGTCATCACCTGGGGTACTGGCTGTAATAACAATATCCGGCACATTTGAATCAAATTGCTTTGCTTTTAGAATAGGCTGCGATTCTGTATACTGTCTTGTGCCTCGAGTCTCTTCAAGGAAATTGGCTTCATTTGAATGTTCAGCCCACGCCTCTGCTGCCTCAAAGTCAATATCCTCTTCTTCCTGTGAGGAGTAACCTGCTAAAGCTGACGCCCCATACGGAACGTCGCTGTCAATAGAAGCTGAAAATACTTGTGGTGCCACAAATTCGTCTGAAGAAAATTTTGAAAATGCTATCCCCTGACTAGTGGTTGACTGGATTTCAATCTCTTCTTTCTTTCGTTTAATTTCAGATTCGAGTGTTTTTAATTCCCTGTCCAAAGCATCATCGGAGGTGTTTGATTCCATTTGTTCTCTGCTGTCAGTCGTAAGGGCAGATTGATACATAACTTCAGAAATATACCCAGAAAAATCCATTATTGGTGTTGCCTCATCTCTCTTGTTTAACTCTTGATCTACCATATCTGATGAGCTTGTAGTCTCAACTGTTGAATAGTATATACTTTCAGTTGATCGTAGTGATTCTATGATACATTTCTCCAAAACACCGCTCTGTAAAATTTCTTCGGAAACATTGGATTGACCTTCACTTTGCGTATCTTTCCCATGGCATCCGCCTTCTGATAAACTGTCCATGGCAATAACATCCTGCTTCCCGTCTAAAAAAGGTGTGCTTTCAGGTGTAAACTTGTTGAAACCATTCTCTGAGTAATTATCATCTAACATATTCACTGCTCCGGTAATGTAGGCTATATCATCGTGACTGCTATCATGTTTAGTGTCGATCTGAGATGAAGAATTTAGTATGTCTTCTGTTTCCATGAGAATTCTTGTCATTATTTCCTGTGGTGTTTCACCCCTGTTTTCACGAGGCGGTGCTGGCATTTGATTGCACAGCCTTTCTACTTCCAATTCAACACTGTCACTTTCGCTTAGTGTCAACTCTTTTAATATTTCTCCCGAATTATCCATTGCACTTATTTCAAGTTCACTGGCATACTGATCATCGGGTAGGGTCTCACATGCTACAGAGTCGTATATCTCTTCATGTTTAGTTTCTTCACCAGAATGTTTTTCATTTAGAAATTTGCTCTTTTCACTGGAATAGACGTCAATGGTGATTTCATCTTTCACTGATCTTATAAAATCTTCATCTTCTGAAAATTCTAAACTTTGCATATGTTGTATTTCTGCTGATAAGTATTCATGCTCTTCAACAGATGTGTTCTCCTCCCTTTGCACATTTGCAATGGAAAATGTTTTTAAACCTTCAAGGGATGTCCCTTTGGTATATTGGTTGTCATGCATTTTTGTTGATACATCTTTATCTTGGACATCGGTTTGTAAATGTGTCATCTCTTCTAAACGTTTAGTTGATACCATCTGTGCCTGTTCCAAACAAATATCCTGAAAATTCAATCCTTCCTCTGTTGAAGAGACTGTCTGTTTAATATCCAAGGTTCTATCACTAGATATAGGTGATTCATCATACTGTTCAGCACCTGATGTATCTGATGTTTGTTGAAAGTCATGCTTTGTCGTATCTACATTCTGTTGAAGATCTTGATCTTCCTCTAAAACATATGTTGCTAATTTAAGCTCTGAATCTTTGGCACCCATTCTAATATTGATCTCTGGACTCCATTCTTGGTCTCCATCTATTGTTAGTTGACGTTTTTGATCTCCTTTCGTAGTATATAATTTCAGTTGGAATTCTGGTTCTCCCTTCGCAGTATCTATTTTCAGTCCTGGTGCATTTTCTGTCCTTAAAGGTATCATTGGCTCTTCCCCTGTAGTATCCATTTTTAATTTGAGCTCTGCTGTATCAATTAACAGTTCTAACTCTTGTTCTCTCTGAGTTACATCTACTATCTCATGCTGAGGTTCTTGTTCTTCCTTAGTATTTGGATGAAACTCTATTGCTTCCCAAATTGGATCTGTTTTTAACTGGATCTTTGGGTCTTTTTCTACAATATCTGATTTCAACTGTATCTCCGGTTTTCCCTCTATGGCATCTGTTTTTAACAGTGTATCTGGTTCCATCTCTACAGCATCTGTTTTTAATACAAAATCTGATTCTACTTGCATGATATCCGTTTTGGACTGAATCTTTTGTTCGAACAATTGTCGTCCTTGTAAACTGGTTTCTGACTGTCCGTCTATTTTCAATTGCATCTCTGGTTCTCCTTCTATATCAGTCTTTAATTGGTTCTCTAGTTCCGCGTCTACAATATCTGACTTTAATTCGATATCAGGTTCCCCTTCTATACCACTCATTAATAGGTTCTCTGATTCTCCATCTATGATATCTGACTTTAATTGGGTATTTGGTTCTCTCTTTGTATCAGTCTTCAAGTGGTTCACTGATTCTCCGTCTACGATATCTGACTTTAACTGGATCTCTGGTTTTCCTTCTTCAACAATCTTTAATCGGTTCTCTGGTTTTACTTCTATATTTGACTTTAATTTGAAAGCTGGTTCTCTCTCTATATCTATTTTTAATTGGATATCTGGGTCTTTCTCTTTGATATCTGTTGTTAATTGAATCTCTGATTCTCTTTTTATTGTATCTACTTTCAATTCAATTGCTGCTTCTCCTGTTAAATCTGTTTTTAATTGGAGTTCAGGGTGTTCCTTCATACTTGTCATTAACTGGATCTCTGGTTCTCCATCTCTGACATCTGTCTTAAAAGATAGCTCTGGTTCTTCCCCTATAACATCTGTTTTTAAATTGACTTCTGGTTGCTCCATGGCATCGGTTTCTAACTGGACCTCAAGTTCATCCTCTATGATATCTGCCTTCTGCATACATTGATACACTTGTCCCTTCATATAACCTCTTTTCAACTGAAGCTCTGTAGCTTGCTCTACCGATTGCATATGTAACTGAAGTTCTTGTTCAGCCGCAGATTGTTTTATCTCTTTGGTGAACTCCGATTTGTAAACCCGACTAGGATCTTTATATCCATACAGATCTTTTCTGCTGCTCCATGGTACACGATCAAAAGACGGTTGTTCAGTATCCAGTTCTGATTCCCCTGAATGACCAGTTTCTGTTTTACCCCTGTCACATTCAGATTCTGTTTCAATACCAAACACAATGTCATCCATATCAGAGTGTGTTACACTTATACTGCATTCATCAGTAGATGGTATCTCAACAACTGCCATGTTAAGAAAAATATTGTGTTCTGTAGTCTTGGTTGGCAGTGGGGAAGGCGTCAAATTACTAATTTCAAAATTCTCAATGAGGACTGCAGAAGAACTTGTGAAATGTTGTTTTTGTTTATTCTCTTGTTCAAGTCGGTTAAATTCACTATCATTTTGAACAATATCTCTGTTCTGTACATCCTGGTGTCTAGTATCTGATTTTGTCGATTTTCCAATTTCCAGTGATAGTTCTGAGATTTGTCTCCCAATGCTTGGTTTAACAACACCTCTAGTAATTTCTTCAGAAATAGTTGCTGGTACATCAAAAGATACTATATTTAAATGTTTATCTTCAGCAGCCAAAGGCTCAACATCTGGAGTTTCTGTACCTGTAATGTTTATAGAAACATCGCTTTTCTCAACTGGGTTTGATTCAATGATTAAATGTAATGGCTCATTTTCTTCTTTTCTTTTTTCGTGTTCATCAAAATGTTTAACATTAAAGTCTTTTTCAGTACGTGTCCTTAATGGTACTTGCATAGCTTTAAATTCTTGAGTAAAACTTTCTTTGTCCACATCTTCATCAACTTTCATATTGTCCTCCATATTATCAATGAAATATAATGTTTCAAGTTTATACAGAAGTGCTTGGTCAGGTTCAATTAGACCTTCATAATGAGATATAACCCTATCTCTATCCATCATCTCACTGGTTGTTTCATCTGTTTGTAATGACTGGACTTCAGTAAATATCAGTGAGGCATCACTTTCTTGGAGTTTCTGTAAACTTTCGTCTCTAACAATCAGTTTATCTGTAGATACTGCGACCATTTGATTTTGGTTGGAAATGTTTTTCTCTGGTTGAAGCTGGGAACCTTCTCCTATTTCAGTGATGGAAATAGCCTTTGGATTGTCAAAATCGGATGGATCTCTGAGTTTTTCAGACATATAGTTTTCTTCATCATCATCAGCAAGATCATCCAGATTCTGCAAATCATCATAACGGCTAGAAAGTTCTTTGTGTTCTGAGGCTTCGTTAGTAAAAAAAGGAGCAAAATGTTTTACTTCTTTGACGTCCACCTTCCCAAAAGCTGTTAATGACGGCTCATGTTTCACAGTAGAATGACTTTCATTGATCTGTTCAATAGCTTTTTTGATATTCTGTGCCTCCTCAATAGCATTATCATGGTCTTCTGAAATTTTAACTAATTCATCTGGATATTCACCAATTTCTTCTGCAATCATCTCCACCATCTGTCTTCGATATTTCATTTGGTGTGTTATTTCTTCTATTTCCTCAGCTAGTTTTGTTGCTTCTGCCCTTTCATCATCTTTTGTTACTTTAGCAGAGACCACAGACAAGATTTCATTCATTAAATGTACAATTTCTTCTTCTAAGTGAGTTCTCTCCAAAAGATGACGTTCTAGGTTAGCCTCCATTTCCTGGCCACCTTCTTTCTTGGTTCGCCTGGAACGAGATACTTGACTACTTTCCAATTCTTCTTCTTCTTCTAATATTGTTGCTAAGCCTTGTGCAGCAATAATTTCTGCCATTTCTGAAAATAGAAAAAAGTAGAAATTTATGTGAAATAAACTGAATCAAACCACAGAATTTCATTACCTAAGTCTTCCAACAATGCATGTGTACACAAAATTTGGTTGAAAACAGATGATAATTACTGAATTTATTGAACATTGAAGCTATCAAACAATCAGATTACATATATTTGTAAATATGAATAAATCAACATTTACTAATTACCTGTATCAGGACACTGCTCAACATCCTCAATCTGTTTGGTCAAAGCATCTTTGAATTCTTGTGTTAGGTCAGTTTCGTGTGGTAAGATATACTGGCTGAGTAAATCTACGGTTCTCTCATTTGAATCATCATCTTCAACATTCTCATTTGTCATGTACTTTTCGGATAACTTGGGCTGTGCATTATCTAGGCCTAAAGAATAATCAGTTGTCTCTCCAAAAGGAACCGTATCTTTTGATTTTTCCTCTAGTCCAAAACTCACTTCAGAAATCATATGTTCTCCCCCTAGAGTGGTTTCTTGTGCAACCATGGGTTTAGATGTGGTTCCATCATTATAAATCTGTCTTAATAAAGTAACTTCTGGATCTTCAAGATGGTGAGCTTTCAAAAGATCTTCTAATGGTTTCAGGTGTTCTAATGAATCATCCAAATCTACTTCTGCTGAAAGATCTCCCAGATTATCCAGGTAGATTTCTTTTGTTTCATCCACTTTCCTGAAAAGATGTTCTTCGGGATTTGTTTGGATTTCTTTCAGATTGGGGTCTTTTAAAAGATCATGAGAGTTTTGTGATTCATTTGGTAAGGGTCTTTCCATTACTACTTCATCTTCCGAATCTAGTTGGTCATATTCTTCATCTTCAATATCTGTATCTGTGCAGTTGTCACTATTAACTGTATTATTTCCATCTACTTGAAGTGTATTTTCCTCAGTTCCTAGGGTAACCTGATCAGCTTCAGAGTCAAGATCTTCGTCAAAGCTGTCACCTTCTGTATCCTTACCTAAAGAGGATTTATCACCTTCTGAAGGAGTCATTTCTTCTGCTGTTACATAAAGAGATTCAAGTGATCCTTGATAGGAATCCAAAGAAGATTCATCTAATTGAGCTTCACCAAGTTCAACATCTTGTGATTCAGGATCAACAGTACTGTCATCAGCTTCCAAAACATATAATTCCTCAAATTTATCAAACAGATCTTGTTTAACTGGATCTAGTTTTGAAACAATAATTTTTTCTTTTTTATCAGTTTTAGTACAGAAATGATTAGTGCTGTCTTCTGACATGTCGATATTTTGGAAGTCTTGTAGTGCAAGATGTTGATTCCTGTCAGATACAGATGAAAAATTGGACTGACAGGGAGCTCCGATTTTAAAGAAATCATTCTGTACAACCTCTTCAGCAAGATCAGATAATGATTTTGGTGAGAATTCGTAAGTCCTAGATGAAAGTGGCATGTTTTTAATTTCTGTAAGGCCATCTATCAGAGTTTGAAATTCTGTTTCTGCTTTGTTCTTGGATGCCAGGCTACACTCTGGCACGATGTGATCATCTGAAATTTGTTCACTCCCCATATCGGATCTTTCTTCATCAGGAATATAAATTAATTTAATGACATAATCATCATAATCATCATCATCATCAGCAGCAGCAATTTGTTCATCGATCTCTTCTATTTCAGATTTTACCTCTTTTTGACTTTCAACTGGATCACTTGAATAAGATACAGGCTCAGCATCTTGACATCCATCCAACCATTCATCAACATATAATGTACTTTCATTAATAACATCTTCAGCAGGATCTTCAGCAGGATTAATGCTATAATCTGATTTTGAAGCATAGTTTTCGTGAGAAATTTCACCACTTAATACCTTGGCTTCTGGTTGAAATACACCATCATATGTTGGTATAAATATGGAAAATGGTGTTTGGTCAGTCTGAACTTTATTATAGAAATCATCATATGCTAGTCCAAAAACTTGATCAGATACTTTTTGTTCAACAATATTTGTGTCCCCAGCTAATCTACATAAACTATCTTGTTCTGGTTTGGTTTCACCTTCCAAAGTTTCTTGCACCAATTCTCTATAGGACATTCCAGGAGATCTAAAGGATCCAATAGTAGACTCAGATTGCATTTCATTTTTCATAGTCTTTTGGTTGGATAAAAGTTCCACTGAATCTGTAGAAACATATGTATAGTTTTGTAGTTTCTTATAAGATAACAACTCAATAGAATCAGTGCTTTCATTTTCAAGTTTGTTGTTTGCTTTAAGAACAGCATTTAGCTCACTGATGTCTTTAGAAATGCTTGCAACATGTTCTGAAATTGGCAGTACTTCAGACATTTGACCAGGATTTACAACTTCCATTTCCCTTTGAAGCAAATCTATACATGAAGACAATTCTGATGTGATGCCTATTAAATTCTCATCTAACTGTTCTGTTTGAACTATAGGCGGTTTTATTTGCTCATCTAAGTATTCCTTTACTGTTATTTCCCCAGGTTTAGCAAATGGAGATGAAGCTTTCAACAATAATGCATCAAGATATTCTTTTACAGATTTTTCTTCCTGTAAACCGAACAGATCAATTTTACCTGGCTCCACTCTCTCTTCAAATGGATGTAATTGTGCATCTGACTTCAGAGTATCATCATTAGCAGAATATATTTCTTGTGATTGTTGAATTGGCTTTGACTCTTCAGATATACTAGTAGTGGATCCAGAAGATTCTAAATGTACTTCAGATTCTATCTCACCAACTGGTTTTCTGTCAGTAATATATTCAGATGATTCCAATTGTATACTCGTAACAGGAACTTCAGAATTTTTCACAAAAGAATCTTTTTGAACAAATGTCAGGACACCATCAATTTCCACTATTTCCAAATTTGTATCATCTGTATGCATTGGCTGATTTTCAGAATCTCCAAAATCAAAATATAACATACCCTCTTGTCCGGAAACTGTTGGCCCACTATCCTCAGGTTCAGCTATATGAGTATCTTGAAGCTCTTGCTCGTGTGTTTTTAATTCTGTGTATTCATTTTCTTGTAATTGTTGAATTGATTCTGTTGTGTCTTCGGATAATTCTAATGGTACATCATCATCAACTAAATAATCTTGTTCACCTGGTCCTTGAATTAATTGTGATTCCACTGATATAGTTAAATTAGATTCAAAACTAATTCCAGGAGAAATTTCACCATGTAGTTTTTCGTCTGTAATGTCTTCAGATGATTCTATCGCAGTGTCAGTCACAGGTACATCATCAACCAAAGAATCTTTTTCACTTGGTGGTTGAATTAATTGTGATTCATATGATGAAATGGATTCCCCAGATTGTAAACCAAATTCAAATGCACTTTCATAAGGCAGTTTCGTGTCTGTAATGTCTTTGTATGATTCTAGTTGGCCATCTGTCATATGAGCTTCATGACTAGCAACTACTGAGTTTTTGACAATGGAATCCTTTGGAACAAATGTCAGAACACCATCAATTTCCACTATTTCCATATTTTCGTCATTTGTATGTCTTTTCGATTCTTTGGAATCTCCAAAATCAAAGTAGAGCAGACCTTCTTGTTCCGAAGTACTGGGTCCATTGCTGTATTCTGGCTCTGTTAAAAGAGCGTCATCCTTTATTTGTTGAACTGATACATTAGCCATTATTTTATCCCCAGATTTTATACTCAATTCTGTTACAATTTCACCGGACTGCTTACTGTCTGTGGTATCTTTAGCCGATTCTAATGGTTCTTCAGCTAGAGAAACAGGGTCAACCAAGCAATCTTTTCCAGTTCGTTGTTGTATTAACTGTGATTCACAAGATAAAGTTGATTCAAAAGAATGTAAACCTGATTCAAATGCAATATCTCTAATTTGGCCAGACAGTTTTATGTCAGTGATGTCTTCAGATGATTCTAGTGGAGCATCAGTCAAAGGAACTTCATCAACTAAGTAATCTTTTTCTTTTGATGGTTTGATTAAGAGTGATTCTTCTAACACAGTGGATTCATTAGACTGAAAACCAATTTCAGATACATTTTTTGTTGGTATTTGTTTGTCTGTAAGGTCTTTGGTTGATTGTACTGTAGCATCTCCCACAGCAACTTCATTAGTCAATGAATCTGTATCTGGTGATTGTTGAAACTGTGATTTTTCTGATAAAGTGGATTCATCAGGTTGTAAATCAAATTCAGATGTATTTCTGTTAGGCAGTTTTCTGTCTGAAATGTCCCCAGATGATTTAAATGGGACATCAGTCTTAGGAATAACACTATCTATTTCATTTGGTGATTGAACTGTCTGTGCTTCCACTGATAAAGTGGAATCATTAGAGTCAAATCGAAATTCTGGAGAAATTTCATCAGAGGGTTTTTTGTCTTCAGATGATTCTAAAGGAGTATCTGTCACAGGAATATCAACTAAGGAATTATTTTCACTTGATGCTTGAATTAACTGTGCTTCCACGGATATGGTTAAATCATTAGATTCAAAACAGAATCCTGGAGAAATTTCACCTGGTAGTTTTTTGTCTGTGATGTCTTCAGACAACTTTAATGCAGTATGAGTCACAGTTACTTCATCAACTAAAGAATCTTTGTCACTTGGTGGTTGAATTTGCCATGATTCGTCTGATGAAATGGATTCCCCAGATTGTAAACCAAGTTCAGATGTTCTTTCATAATTCAGTTTTCTGTCTGTAATGTCTTCAGATGATTCTAGTTGTCCATCTGTCATATGGGCTTCATGACCAGCAACTGTTGAGTTTTTGACAATGGAATCCTTTGGAACAAATGTCAGAACACCATCAACTTCTACTATTTCCATATTTTCGTCATCTGTATGTGTTTTCGGTCCTTTGGAATCCCCAAAATCGAAATACAGCAACCCTTCTTGTTCTGAAGTACTGGGTCCATTGCTGTCTTCTGGTTCTGTTGAAAGTGTGTCATCCTTTATTTGTTGAACTGATACATTAGCCATTATTTTATCCCCAGATTGTAAACTCATTTCTGTTACAATTTCACTTGACTGCTTACTATCTGGGGTATCTTTAGCGGATTCTAATGTTTCTTCAGTCTGAGAGACTATGTCAACCAAAGAATCTTTTTCAGTTGGTTGTTGTATTAACTGTGATTCACGAGATAAAGTTGATTCAAAAGAATTTAAAACTGATTCAAAGGCAATGTCACCAGACAGTTTTGTATCTGTGATGTCTTCAGATGATTCTAGTGGAGCATCAGTCAAGGGAGCTTCATCAACTAAGTAATCTTTTTCTTTTGATGGTTCAATTAAGAGTGATTCTTCTAACACAGTGGATTCATTAGAATGAAAACCAATTTCAGAAGCAGTTTTATCAGATATTTGTTCGTCTGTAAGGTCTTCGGTTGATTTTACTTCATTAGTCAATAAATCTGTTTCTGGTGATTGTTGAAACTGTGATTTTTCTGATAAAGTGGATTCATCAGGTTGTAAATCAAATTCAGATGCATTTCTGTCAGACAGTTTTCTGTCTGAAATGGCTTCAGATGATTTAAATGGGACATCAGTCTTAGGAATAACAGCATCTATTTCATCTGGTGGTTGAATTGTCTGTGCTTCCACTGATAAAGTGGAATCATCAGAGTCAAATCTAAATTCCGGAGAAATTTTACCAAAGGGGTTTTTGTCTGTGATGTCTTCAGATGATTCTAAAGGAGTATCTGTCACAGGAATATCAACTAAGGAATTATTTTCACTTGATGCTTGAATTAACTGCGCTTCCCCTGATATGGTTAAATAGTTAGATTTCAAACAGAATCCTGGAGAAATTTCACCTATTAGTTTCTTGTCTGTGATGTCTTCAGATGACTTTAATGCAGTATCAGTGACAGTTACATCATCAACTAAAGAATCTTTTTCACTTGGTGGTTGAATTTGCTGTGATTCTTCTGAAGGAATGGATTCCCCAGATTGTAAACCAGGTTCAGATGCACTTTTATAAGGCAGTTTCGTGTCTGTAATGTCTTCGTATGATTCTAGTTGTCCATCTGTCATATGGGCTTCATGAACAGCAACTACTGAGTTTTTGACAATGGAATCCTTTGGTACAAATGTCAGAACACCATCAATTTCTACTATTTCCATATTTTCGTCATCTGTATGTGTTTTCGGTTCTTTGGAATCCCCAAAATCGAAATACAGCAACCCTTCTTGTTCTGAAGTACTGGGTCCATTGCTGTCTTCTGGTTCTGTTAAAAGTGTGTCATTCTTTATTTGTTGAACTGATACATTAGCCATTATTTTATCCCCAGATTGTAAACTCATTTCTGTTACAATTTCACTTGACTGCTTACTATCTGGGGTATCTTTAGCAGATTCTAATGTTTCTTCAGTCTGAGAAACTATGTCAACCAAAGAATCTTTTTCAGTTGGTTGTTGTATTAACTGTGATTCACGAGATAAAGTTGATTCAAAAGAATGTAAAACTGATTCAAAGGCAATGTCACCAGACAGTTTTGTATCTGTGATGTCTTCAGATGATTCTAGTGGAGCAACAGTCAAGGGAGCTTCATCAACTAAGTAATCTTTTTCTTTTGATGGTTCAATTAAGAGTGATTCTTCTAACACAATGGATTCATTAGAATGAAAACCAATTTCAGAAGCAGTTTTATCAGATATTTGTTCGTCTGTAAGGTCTTCGGTTGATTTTACTTCATTAGTCAATAAATCTGTTTCTGGTGATTGTTGAAACTGTGATTTTTCTGATAAAGTCGATTCATCAGGTTGTAAATCAGATTCAGATGCAATTCCATCAGGCAGTTTTCTGTTTGAAATGTCTTCAGATGATTTAAATGGGCCATCAGTCTTGGACATAACAGCATCTTTTTCATCTGTTTGTTGAATTGACTGTGCTTCAACTAATAAAGTGGAATCAGAGTCAAATCTAAATTTTGGAGAAACTTCATCAGAGGGTTTTTTGTCTGTGATGTCTTCAGATGATTCTAAAGGAGTATCTGTCACAGGAATATCAACTAGGGAATTATTTTCACTTGGTGCTTGAATTAACTGTGCTTCCACTGATATCCTTAAATCATTAGATTCAAAACAAAAACCTGGAGAAATTTCACCTGGCAGATTTTTGCCTGTGATGTCTTCAGATGACTTTAATGCAGGATCAGTAACAGTCATATCATCAACTAAAGAATCTTTTTCACTTGGTGGTTGAATTTGCTGTAATTCTTCTGATGAAATGGATTCCCCCGATTGTAAACCAAGTTCGGATGCTCTTTCTATGTCTGTAATATCCTCAGATGATTCTGTCACATGAGCTTCATGACCAGCAACAGCTGAGTTTTCGACAACAGAATCTTTTGGAACAAATGTCAGAACACCATCAATTTCTACTATTTCCATATTTTCACCATCTGTATGTGTTTCTGGTTCTTTAGAATCTCCAAAATCGAAATACAACAAACCTTCTTGTTCTGAGGTACTGGGTCCATTGCTGTCTTCTAGCTCTGTTAAAAGAGTGTCATCATTTATTTGTTGAACTGATAAATCAGCCATTATTTTATCCCCAGATTGTAAACTCATTTCTGTTACAATTTCACTTGACTGCTTACTATCTGGGGTATCTTTAGCGGATTCTAATGTTTCTTCAGTCTGAGAAACTATGTCAACCAAAGAATCTTTTTCAGTTTGTTGTTGTATTAACTCTGATTCATGATATAAAATTGATTCAAAAGACTGTAATCCTGATTCAAATGCAATGTCACATATTTCACCAGGCAGTTTTGTATCTGTGATGTTTTCAGATAATTCTACTGGAGCATCAGTCAGAGGATCTTCATCAACTAAGTAATCTTTTTCTTTTGATGGTTCAATTAAGGGTGATTCTTCTAACACAGTGGATTCATTAGACTGAAAACCAATTTCAGATGCAGTTTTATCAGAAATTTGTTTGTCTGTAAGGTCTTCGGGTGATTCTAATGTAGCATATGTCACTGCAACTTCATCAGTTAATAAATCTGTATCGGATAATTGTTGAATTAACTGTGATTTTTCTGATAAAGTGGATTCATCAGGTTGTAAATCAGATTCAGATGCAGTTTTTTCAGACATTTGTTTGCCTGTAAGGTCTTCGGATGATTCTAATGTAGCATATGTCACCGCAACTTCATCAGTCAATAAATCTGTATCTGGTGATTGTTGAAATAACTGTGATTTTTCTGATAAAGTGGATTCACCAGGTTGTAAATCAGATTCAGATGCAATTCCATCCGGCAGTTTTCTGTCTGAAATGTCTTCAGATGATTTAAATGGGACATCTGTCATAGGAATTACAGCATCTTTTTCATCTTGTGATTGAATTGTCTGTGCTTCTACTGATAAAGTGGGATCATTAGATTCAAATCTAAATTCTAGAGAAATCTCATTAGGCAGTTTTTTGTCAGTGATGTCTTCAGATGATTCTAATGCTGTATCAGTCACAGGAATATCATTGACTAAAGAATCTTTTTTATTTGGTGGTTGAATTAACTCTTCTGATAAAGTAGATTCATCAGATTGAAAACAAGATACCATTTTACCTGGACGTATGCTGTCTGTAATGTCTCCTGACAATTCTAATTGTGCATCTGTGCATGGAACTTCATGAGCAGTGAGTACTTTTGTCTGTTGTTCCTCAGAAAATTTCTTATAGTCTAAATAGGTTTCTGATAAAATATTACCAGACTGATTGGAAGCTATATTATCTTCAGAAATATCATCTTGTAATTCTGTTTTATTACCATCAAACATTGAGTCTGTCGAAACAAACTGAAGAATACCATTGACTTCAACTATTTTCATGTTTTCATCTAAGTCATGATATGGTTTATCCGTGTCACCAAAATCAGAGAATAAAACCCCTTCCTGTGCTAAACCTTTAGGTCCATCTTCTCCTAAATCAGCACCGTGTTGTGGGTCATCAACATTACTTAGCTGATCATAGAGCTGAGCTGATGCACCATCTAAGGAAGTTGATAGTTGTGATTGCTCATTATCTAGAGAAGAACAGTTGTTCTGTGGTTGTTGTATTAACTGTGATTCTTCAGATACAGTTGATGAACCAGGCTGTGAACTAAACTGAGGGGCAGCCTCACCAGTTGCTATTCTGTATGTATTGTCTTCTGATGATTGTAGGTGAGCATCTGTCATAGGAAGATCATTGACAGGATAGTCTTCTTTTGGTTCATATAATTCAGATTGTTTAACATTAATATTTCTTAACAGTGTATCTACTTGGGGAACACTGAAGATAGCTGTTTCTAGTAGTTGTTTCTGAATCAGCTGAGAATCGTCAAGATTTGACAAATGACTTGCTAAATTTTGATCATCATACCGTGATTCTGCCTTTTCATTTTCCTCTTTACCCATGGTAGCGATATTAATGGTCTCTAACTTTGTGTCAGCTTGGTTTAAATCGTCAATAGAAACACCATCAGAACTTGCCTCATGTGATTCTGTTTTTTCTTCATCTTTAGAAACAAATTGAAGATCACCATTATCATCAACAAATTTCATGTTATCTTCTGCATTTTGTTGAGGCTCATCAGAATCTCCAAAATCATAATATAAAAGACCATCCTGTGCTAAAGGTTTAGGACCATCGGCTGCTAAAAGTTCCTCTTGTTGTTCAAAAGATGGACTGTGCGTTGGAGTAATAATTTCTTGACCAATTAATACTTGATTTTGCATCTCTGTCAAAGAATCATCAATATTAAACTTGGACAATTCTTCATCTTGGTCAAAATCATGTAGATCCCCAACACTTTTATCCTGATGATGATGATATTCAGATGATGGTCTTGTAGAACAAGGTATGACCGTAACAACACTTTCACCAGCATCTGTTGACTCTGTTTCATAGTCTGTACTATCTTCACTATATAAACTTGAACGCTGACTCTGTATTCCTTCATCAACATTTGGTCGAGTCATCAGTTCCTGATGTATTTCTTCAGAGGCGATGATGATTTTTTCACATGAATTTTGGTTTTTAAATTCAATAGCATCACAATCTAATGAATCTGATTGCAAATTTGGTTCATGCTGATATATATTTGAGAATGTTTCAAAATGATGAGAAAAACAAGTATTAACTTTTGAGGATGATTCTTGTGAATAATTTTGAGAATATAGAAGTTCGGCATTGTAAGACTCAACAAACACTTTTTGCTGAGTTATTGATTTAGAAAGTTCTAAAGTCTTATAATGAGATGTGAGATTAATTTCACTTCTCTGACCCAAGGGCATAGTTGAAGCTTCATAATAGCGACAATCTGTTATAGTTACAGGACTTGAATCAATTTCTAGAAAACTTTGTAACATTTCAGTAGATGCTGGATAATGAATATTTGTTCCCAACTCAATTGAAACACAATCTTTTTCACTTTTTTCTTTTTGAGATTGGATAAATAAATCAAAATAATGTTCATCCACTACTATAGTAACTGGTTCAACTATCACAAAACGCATCACAGCTTCACATTGTTCAAAACTACTTTTCTCATACTTCTCATTTACATATTCTATTAAAGGAATGTTTAGTTCGGCAAAATCAGATTTTATATCAGCATCATTCACATCACACGGAACTAATATAGGCACAATGGTTTCAACTTCACTTTTTATTGAATAAGACAATACTGTGTCTGATTTACCTTGCACAAGGATGTGTAATTCAGTATTTTCATCTAGATTACCATTAAAGTAGTCTAGATTTTGTACAGACAGTTCATCTTCTAAAATAATTTCATCTCTCTGCCAATTATCTTGTTGAATTTCAGTAACAAGACCCCCAGCTCTATCCGTTTCTATAAAATCAATTGGTGATTCTCTTGTCACTACTCGTGTCTGCAATTCATTGTCATCAAGAACACTTTGTTTGGCATCAACTGGCAATTCTAAAGACAATTCCATCTCATTTTGATCCATGTAACTTTTCTGGACATCAACTTTTGATTCCCTCGTCTTTGGTGTCTTGGACGAAGTAATTTCATCCATGGAAGATTTCTGGACATCAACTGATGATTCTCCTATTTCATTTAGACCAGGTGTTTGTAAATTAATTTCATCAGCAGAGCTTGTTTTGACATCAACAGCCGATGACTCATCTATCAGATTCTTTGTCTGTAAAATGCTTTCTGCAGGAGCACTTCTTTGGACATCAATTGATGATTCCCAAGTTTCATTTCGTTTTAGTGAAATGCTTTCATCCATGGAACTTCCGTCAACTGATGAATCATCCATTAGATTCTGTGTCTGCAAAATATGTTCATTAACATCAAGTGATGACTTACTTGTCAGTTTCTGTATCTGTAAACTACTTTCATGAATAGAGCTTGTTAGAATATTAACTGATGATTCACCTGTGTCATTTGATGTATGTGAAGTGTTTTCATTTGGAGTTTGTAAATGAAAAATACTTTCAATATGTTTTGTTGGGACATCAACAGCAGGACTTCTTTGGGCATCTACTGTTGATTCACTTGTAAGGACATCAACACCTGTCAGGTTCTGCATCTGTAAAGTATCTTCATCAACACAACTTCTTTGAACATCTACTAATGATTCACTTGTCAGGACATCAACAGATGAATCACTTGCCAGGACATCAACAGATGAATCACCTGCCAGACTGGGTGTCTGTAGAGTATTTTCATCAGCAGAACTTCTTTCGACATCTACTGATGATTCACTTGTTAGGACATCAAATTGTGAATCGCCTGTCAGGTTCTGTAGCTGTAGAGTATTTTCATCAGTAGAACTTGTTCGGACATCTACTGCTGATTCACTTGTCAGGACATCAACACCTGTCAGGTTCTGCATCTGTAAAGTATCTTCATCAACACAACTTCTTTGAACATCTACTAATGATTCACTTGTCAGGACATCAACAGATGAATCACTTGCCAGGTCATCAACAGATGAATCACCTGCCAGATTGGGTGTCTGTAGAGTATTTTCATCAGCAGAACTTCTTTCGACATCTACTGATGATTCACTTGTTAGGACATCAAATTGTGAATCGCCTGTCAGGTTCTGTAGCTGTAGAGTATTTTCATCAGTAGAACTTGTTCGGACATCTACTGCTGATTCACTTGTCAGGACATCAACACCTGTCAGGTTCTGCATCTGTAAAGTATCTTCATCAACACAACTTCTTTGAACATCTACTGATGATTCACTTGTCAGGACGTCAACAAATGAATCACCTGCCAGATTGTGTATCTGTAGAGTATTTTCATCAGCAGAACTTCTTTCGACATCTACTGATGATTCACTTGTCAGGACATCAAATTGTGAATCGCCTGTCAGGTTCTCTATCTGTAAAGTATCTTCATCAACACAACTTCTTTGAACATCTACTGATGATTCACTTGTCAGGACGTCAACAGATGAATCACCTGCCAGATTGTGTATCTGTAGAGTATTTTCATCAGCAGAACTTCTTTCGACATCTACTGATGATTCACTTGTCAGGACATCAAATTGTGAATCGCCTGTCAGGTTCTGCATCTGTAAAGTATCTTCATCAACACAACTTCTTTGAACATCTACTGATAGTTCACTTGTCAGGACGTCAACAGATGAATCACCTGCCAGATTGTTTATCTGTAGAGTATTTTCATCAGCAGAACTTCTTTCGACATCTACTGATGATTCACTTGTCAGGACATCAAATTGTGAATCGCCTGTCAGGTTCTGTATCTGTAGAGTATTTTCATCAGTAGAACTTGTTTGGACATCTACTGATGATTCACATGTCAGGACATCAACAGATGAATCACTTGTCAGGTTCTGTATCTGTACAGTATTTTCATCAGCAGAACTTATTTGGACATCTACTGATGATTCACTTGCCAGGACATCAACAGAGGAATCACCTGTTAGGTTCTGTATCTGTAGAGTATTTTCATCAGCAGAACTTATTTGGACATCTACTGATGATTCACTTGCCAGGACATCAACAGAGGAATCACCTGTTAGGTTCTGTATCTGAAGAGTATTTTCATCAGCAGAACTTCTTTGGACATCTACTGGTGATTCACTTGCCAGGACATCAACCGATGAATCACCTTTCAGGTTCTGTATTTCTTCAGTAGAATTTCTTTGGACATCTACTGATGATTCACCTGCCAAAACATCTACTGACAATTCACTTGTCAGATTATGAAGAATACCTTCATCAACAGAACTTGTCCTGATATCTACCAATGATTCACCTGTAAGATGCTGTGAATTTGAAATGCCTTGATTAACAGAAGTTCTCTGGAATATTTCGGACTCAGTGAGAATTTCTGACGTAATGCTTGTCATTTCTTTTCTAGCAGAATATTGAGTACATAAATCTACAGACATTTCCATCCCTTTGGATAATCGACCATGTAGTTCTCTGCCACTAACTTGTTGAACCACTTCTGTGTCAACAGAACTTTCCTTACTTGCTATAACATATGAGGAATAATTCACATTTGAAGTATTATCCACAGAAGTTTGTACATTTAAGTTATCTGCTGGAACTGAATCACAAGAATCAACAAAAACAAGATTTGTAAGTATATCATTATCTGATGACATAGAAGGTGGATCCACAGAAGATTCTTCCATGCTTTGTTCACTGATCAATTTTGAGTGTTCTTGTTCACTAATCAAATTTGGTGGTTTATGTTCAATATTCATGATGGATTGTACCTGCTCACTAATCACAAAGGACTGCTTTTGTTCACAATTTGATTTGTCTTGTAACATTTTCAAATCAGCCTTTTTGGATTCACTGATAAAATCTGATTTTTCTTGTTCATTAATCGATTTAGAATGGTCTTGTTCACTAACTAATTTAGAATGGTCTTGTTCAGTGATCAAATTTGATTGATCTTGTTCCATAATTAAATCTAATTGTTGTTGTTCACTTATTAGAACTGTCTCTTGAGGTTGTACACTAGAAAAATTCGGTATCTCATGATCACCAGTAGAATCTGACAACGTCGGATTACTATTTGGATCAATACAAGTTGAAAACACAGAACGTTTATTGAGATTCATGTCTTTATCAGATATGACACAGTAACTTACTCCTATTGGTGGAGATTCATCAGAATTATCAGAAACAATTTCAGAAAGATTTGAATCAGAAATCTTATTTTCATTATGACCTTCAGATTCATGTTTTGATTCACAAATATTTTGATAAATTATATTTTGAGTTCCTTGAATATTTGATAAACTTTGACTTTCTGGGAACATATCTTGGTCCCTTTGGTAAAATGATGCATCAAAGATGATGCCAGATCTATCTTGTGAAATATTGGTCCCTTCTTCAGTAGTTGTCGAAATGGTGTCAGCAACTTGCAGGACACTACTTGAAGTAGAATCAAACCCTCCAGTAAGCTTCGACTCAACTTGATTAAAAGCAACTGACTGATTTAAGTAACTCTGTAAATGTGTTGACTGGCCATTGGGTGTAGAAGCCATGGACTCCCTATCAAAATCTTCACTAATGTTTAGTGTATTATCCAAACCACTGTCTCTTTCAGACACAAAGCTCAGATCAAAATCTTTGGTAGGGGAATTGAAATCTGTAAAGCTCATTCCTGGGAAATCTGAGTAGTCAATCTCTTCCAAATTCTCACTAGCTCCATCAGACATAACATCACCTGCCGACATGGTGTCCGATTGCGAAATGTTCATATCCGAAGACTGCGATGTTGTCATGTCTGAAAATCTTCGATGGTCTTGATCATAAGCCTCTGCTTCAGAAATCGACATATTAAATCCTGTATCATCACTTATAGTAATATCAGTGCTGACGGTGTCTAATTGTTCACTGTCACATGAGTCACGTTTTAGAATGTCTTTACTTGAATAAATATCCCTGCCCTGTATATTATCAACAATCTCATCAGTCTTAATAATTTCAGCCATTCGGTTGTCAAGAATTTCAATGTTTTTATGATCATCAATAAGAAGAGTCTCGGTTGATAACTGCATATTGTTATTCAAACAAGACTCTTCGTCAGGTTCAGTACGAAATGTTAGTTGATTTTGGTCATCAATGTTACTTTCACTGGAAGTAACAGCTGTAGAAATTGCCATGGTTTCATAATCCAGTAGATTAGAAGTGCCAGCTCCAGCTAGAGTTCTCTCCCCTTCAGGAGAATCTTTAGGGCTGAAGCTGTCTTTCTGTGCTAACCATTTGTCTTGATATTCAGTTTCTTTTTTAACAGTTTCCTGCCAGGGGGTTTCATCATTATAGGCCCAAGCCCAGGGGTACTCAGTAACCCATCCTTTCTCAGCAGGCGGAACAAAAGCTTTATCATCTACATGTTTTATAGATGGTCTTCGGAAAAATATATCAGTATCAGAAATACTTTCTCTGTGTTTTATAGATGGTCTTCGGAAAAATATATCAGTATCAGAAATACTTTCTCTGTGTTTCTGAAAATAGACAAAAAATAAGATATTATCTCCTCTAGAATGAATATTTTTTAACAAAATGAAATGATCTATATAGTGTACACCACCCAGCAGCTTTAATTTATAAAGGGGGCTTATGTTACTCTTTCGATGTGATGCAGTGTGACTCTGTGATTGGGTTTTGTGCAACTTGATGTAACAGAGGGATACATGAAAAAGGCAAATCAAGCTGTCTTGGGATCTGATACGACTGTGAAACAAGCCAGTTGCAATTTCCTGTGATCGGTTGCAACTAGTTGCATCGACATGAATTAAATGAATGAAATGGGGTTTAACACCCTACTGTTCTGCACACATGCCATACACCATACAGTGTGCAATGAGGGAAATTTTGCCTGTACAGCAGCACTATGGCCTACTCTTTTTTTGAATTCCAACTGTCAAGGGTTCTTTTACATGCAAGTCTGTCTGTACATGGAAACTCAGTTTTTTAACCCATCTGAAGAACTATATATTGCCCCTTAAGCCCTCCAGCCTGCACCCTTGACATGGTGAAACCTTGCCAGAAAATCCCAATGATCTTCCTCAGGCAAGACAGGACCTTATCTTACTCAATAAGCCACCGCAGACACAACTTTTCTAGAATAAATTTTGCGTAGAATACGATGCCGAGTGGTAAACAGTCCGTCGTTGCACGTACTCACATGCCTTTCATTTCCAGTTGCAAAAGGCACACAGTTGCATCAGATCGCAATGGTGACATAAGCCCTGCTTAACAAACAAGCAGTTGCCATGGCAGATACGCCCACATGCTTATTTTGGAACTCCATCAAGACAATCACCTAATAAATACCTACACAAAGTTTGAGCATTCTAGATCAATTAGAAGCAGAGTCTTTGTGTCCCAAAATGTGTGACGGACAGACGGGCCTGAAATGTTATCTACTGTCTGAACCGTGGTAAATTATAAACAGATTTCTTTGATTATGAACAAACTACTCTACTTTGGTTATTATAAACTTACCTGTGTGTTTGAAATTACCTCCGGTTATATAAAATCCATTGTACAACTATATATGCCAGAGAATAAAAAAGTTTTCTCTTGTAAAATTGAACTCCTCACAAATTTTGACACCGAGAAATACCAAAATGGAAGCTAATTACGTCACTTATTGGGATAGATCATTTCGTATAAGGGGGTCAAAGCAAGGCTTGTCTATCTAACGGTGTTTGGCTCTTTTACGACAATTCAAATTTTGTGTATGAATAAGCTATTGCTCTCAGACCCAGTAATGAGTTTGGGCGTTTATTTTGTTTCTACCTTGTATTAAATATTTGGTTAGAGAGTTCGGTTGGATTATTTCTTTTGATTAACTACATTTTTTGACTTGCCTTGAATCTCACCCTTGAATATTTTTAATATTTCCTGATGAACTTAAGCAGTCCTGTCAATTAACCTGCAGCAATCTGCTGTAGCCTCTGCAAAATTAATAGCCCAGGCCATTGAACTATTGAATAGGTATATAACTTTACTTTTTTTCAAAATAAATGCCAAAAATTATTATCAACAAATCATACCGCACATCGGTTTAATTATCGGCAGATAGTCCCATGTCTTTCTATTTCTCTTTGCATATTATTTCCGGTGTGCAAAAACTGTTCAGAATTTTATAATCGTGCGTCTCGGTAACACAATTAATTTCCGAAATTCCTGGCTTCGTTTTGAAATTCACAAGACAATGTATCCATACGATTGTACTCTCAGTTATAACCTAAATATTTTGAAATCCACGGAGAATGGAATTTTCCGATGGCATTTAGTAGATCGCGATCATGCCTCAGCCAATTAACGCTCTGAATTCTATTACTGTAAAAGGTACCATGCCATATGAGTTAGTGTATGCTACACAGAAGCAATGACAATTGTTAAATTTAGTGCAGCGAAACTTGCACGAGTTTTTCCCACGGTCTGCATAATTAACACACAAAACCCAATAATACACGCAATCTGTGATGCCTCTTCTGAGGAGTGATTTTTTGTTTTATACATTTTTATAAAGACGATAAACGATGTTTACATACATCCCGAACTGTTCTTATTAAGAATGTTTCACTTTCAGTATCTGTCGAATGAACAAAAAAAGTAATTAAGTAATTTAATCAGGAATATTATTGACATGAACAGTCGGCATGTGAATTAAATATTGAAATTATTGAGAAGCGGTGGCCTTTTTTCATAGTTTTTGTGGTAATCATAAACTTTGAAAATGGACTAATAACCACAGAGCATTGGGATTAGACCCCGCCCCGAGTTATGAAATATTATCAATTAAAATTATGAAATAAAGTGTGTTTATTTCTAAATGTTAGTCACAAAAGTTGATATATTCATTTTGAATAAAATTTACTAGACTGACAATCAATTGTTTCCAAATTAATGTCATTGTCTTCAGTTGCTATTTTGTTGCCCAAACTCTACGATCGAAAAGTTTGTGTGCTGTTTTGATTACAACGTGATTGTCAAAATTTGTCAACCTTTACCCCCTTCAACATATTACGATGGTTTAGCTCATCACGTGACATGTGTAAAGTTGTGATGGACACTGTCGAAAATACAAGCAAAAACATTGACTTTTCAAGAGAAAACTTTTTTTTTCGTTGTGATAGTGATATTTAATTGTGTAATGGATTTTATTCAACCTGAGGTGATTTCAAACACATAGGCAAGTTTTTAATAACAATTATTCAGTAGTTTGTTCACAATCGAAGAAATCCATTTATAATTAACCACGGTTCAGACGGTAAATTATTAAATTAGACATTAATTATCCAGACCATAATCAACTCTTGATGCCATGGTAAGCCTGCGATATTTAGTGGATACATTTCATTTTGTGATGGATAATTTAACGTAAAAATGGATAATCGAGACTTTGTTTATTATAATACCAACGTTAGTAATGATGATCGAGGCTAGCCTAAAATTGAATTGCTAATATCCAGTTCAGAGTGAAGCAATTTGACTGAAATTTTTGACATATTCTGTTTTCATTATCTATATTTTAATTATCATAACGAGAACTGTCAGCTCTTTATCTAATCTTACCTAATGCTCCTTTAATCAAAATCGAAGAAAAATTTAGATCTCTACCATCAGGGGCAATGGATATAAACATATAAGTGTCATAAACATAGGATAACCAGCGGTTGCCAGGCAAGATACTCCCACATTTTGCAAGAGATGGATAGAGAACAAGCTAAAAACAAAAGCGATTTTTCATACAATCCGGGGTCATAATCCAGAAAGTTATGATCTAAAATCCGTAAATATCGAAAGGGACCGAGATCTTTGGGATATAAAAATATATTTTAAGTTTAAAAAAAAACAGATAAAAATTGTGACCTCTAGAAGGTCCACAACCTTCATATTATATACTTTTACACAATTTGTGTACAGAGAGCGGCCATTTTGTCTGGCAGTTTCATTTTGATTTTCTCAAAATTCGAATTCAACCTTCATTAAAGTGGAATGGTGATATATTTAAATGGTTTTTAAAATCAGGATAAAATTTGTGACCTCGAGAGAATCCAAAAGCTAAAAAAACATGTTTTTTCGTAGAATCAGGGGTCATAATCCAGGAAGTTACAGTCTTGATATGCGCAGAGGAACCAAGATCTTTGGGTTATAAACATAAATTTCAAGTATCATCAAAATCAGATAAAAATTGTGACTTCTAGAAGGTCCACAACCTTGGTATTTGCGTACGAGGAGCGGCCATTTTCTCTGACAGTTTTGGTCTGATTTTCACGAAAATCGAACTCAACTGATATTACTGCGTAATGGTAATATATTCAAGCGTTTTTTAAATCGAACAATAATTGTGACCTCTAGAGGGACCAGAAACTAAAAACGTGATTTTTCGTACAATCAGGGGCCGTAATTCAAGAAGTTACAATCAAATTCAAAGTTATCATGTTCCAAAGCATTGACAAATCAAATTGCTTATCTGAGTAAAAAATAATCATCACCCAATATAACCTAATGAACTTTGAACAATCTACTTCAATTAGAAACATTCCAAAAGGTGTAATAGACAGACAGACAGCCTGTTGCTTAGTATAAAATGTTATTAATCAAATATATACAGAACATGAGCTTAACAGAATATGGTCACACAACCCATGAAAACATTTGAAATTTATAAAATTTGTTACTCTAATAACTATACTTCTTGATATGAATGAAATACACAAGGGAAACAGAAGTCCAAATTTATATTATTTCGCAATGGCATTTATCTTTCACTCAACAGAGTTGTAATTCCGGAAGAAAAAACCCAAAGCTGAAAATAACAAAAAATTATTAACATTGAGAAAAAATTGGGAGATTGTGAAAAAAAACAAATGTCCAATATTCTGACTGAAACCTCAATGATTACCAGGTAGATTTAATTTTGAACTGCCATTATCATTTTCTTTGTCCATTGAGACTCGTGTATATATTAAATATCTCTATGGAAATTGTTTTCCTTTAATATTATTTCACTCATTACATTGTACTTTTATAATAAACTATATCTATACACTCACACATCAAATATACTTAGTCCATTCAGATGATGCAACTAAGTTCAACAACAACATGCAACTAGGACTTGACAAAAAAATATATTTACATAGATTATAAAAGTAAAGTGATATTACTTGTAAATGCATTTACAAATGTTACCATATTTAAACAAACTGCTAAAATACTTAAGGCCCATTTTAAAATGTGTCTGAATTTCTCAGGTAATCATATGCAAATATAATGACTAACAATTCTGAACAAATCAGTGCCAGAATTATTTGAGATTCAAATAAAAAGCTGGCTATATGTGAACCTTCAAAATAATGTTGTTATATACAGCACCTGGAGGTATAATTTGGACTTTTGACATTAAATCTAAGAACCTTATGAAAATGGCCACAAAGTCAAGTAATAGCACTATTGTATCTTTTATGGGACATTTGAGATTCAAAACTATCCATTTTTTTTGAAAATATGTTTACCCCACCATTTGGTCTTGCAAAAACAGTGTGCAGCTTTGTACAGCATGCTTTCAAAAAACAAAAGGGATGTGGCACCCACTTCTATATAAATAAAAAAATAACCAACAATTTAAAGATCTCTTTTTCGCATTTAACTCGAAGCAACTATGACGTATTCAAAACTTTGGTTTATATTTTGTACATACATGTACTCTCTTAATGTATATACATGTATATATTTTTCATCACCTTTTTATGTATTTTTCATGAGTAATGTATAATTTACATGCTGCCCAAAAAGAGTGTTTTATATAATAAATATCTTATCTTATCAATTACTGAACAAAAATGTCCAATTCAAACAAAGAACATTCACCAAAATATACTAAATAAATAAAAGTATAATAGGGTTTGACTACATTGCAGCCTGAATCGTTATAACTCATCCCTTCCATAGATTCTTTCATTTAATAATATATGTTATCTCAGGCTCTGTCAATATATACATTATTTAACTACATTGTATTATACTTATAGCATGGTCACTTATGATTTGCATAGAATTACATTATCTTAAACCAAACAAGTCATTTATACCAGTAGTCCAATTTTAAGATAAATCCATTCACTATATTGTCATTAGTCAGTTCAAAATCTGCAGAAGAGCAGCAAATTTCTGATAAGGTTACAAAGGTAAGCACAAAAAATGATCTTTCCTCTAAATGAAAAATAACGCTGACTTGAAATGAAATGGGATTTAACATCCTACTGTCCTGCACCAACCAGGCTAATAAGGATGGGACTTTAAACAGAAAAACACAATTTCTTATTTTATATCTTTATACCATGCCTATATCTTGTAATCTGTTTCATATTTGTAGACTTTATATGTGTATCATTAACTGTTCATTTCAAAACATATTACTGCAAATTCATAATTTTAAAAGATATTCATAAAGAGATTACATAATATAAATCCTAAAAAAAACTTACAACACGTTCATGATTTTCCATTCTAATGTTTCGGACACCATAATAACATATAACTGACCAACTGAAACTAACTACTGTAACAATTCTAGTACATGATACTTTTATACCAGAAAAAGGGTGGATCTAAATACTCTGTCAATAACGGTGTTCAATATATGACATCACTGTTATTTACATAGGTAGATGTATCAGTAGTCATAGAGTAAAGGGATTATTGTTATTTAAAGCTTAACCTTGTTGACTGGACATCCTAAAACTTGTGAATAATTCATATTTGATAAAACTGTTATGTAAAGAATTATTTAGGACCAATGTTATATGCATATTGTTTCCTTCTCTTTTCCAGGTTATCATAGCGTTGGTCAAATACTGTTTATCATGAAATATTCCTAAGATAAACTATTATTAACTGAATTAAAAAAGGTAATGTACATGAACATGTAACATTGTGCTTATATATTTGCTTATTAATCTAAAAAAATTAAAAAAATTATTTATTTCGATTTTAAGATATTGGCTTTATTTCAGATAACCATAGAGTGTGACATGCAACATGAAAAAAAACTATGTACAATGGGTATATGATAAAACTAGTATATAGGGAATATAAAGAACATATGACATGCAATAACTTGTATAATAAATGAAATTGCGACTGTCATTTAAATAACATTAATAGTATTTTGAATAATAAAGTACGGAATGGCCAAAAATGTGCCATATTCTGAAGAATAGCTCTTGAATCAAAGATGCCTGATGAAAGTAAATCAAACTTAATTCATTTGTATATAGCATTAATATATACATTTCTGCTCATTAAGGAGCTGAAATATTTTTCCATAATATATAATGATATAAACTGGATTATATAAGGACTTAAATAAATAGATACCTATTTGGTAGATGTGATGAATAATGAATGACACTAATAATAAATCTAAATGAACACTAAAAATGGCCATGCCAAAGCCATGCACTCACTTCAAACTTAAAGTCAAGCTTCAATCTGTGGTACCTCAAACAGAGAAGAAGCTGTAGCTTCCTCGCCTGCTGTCATCAAATCATCTAAAATACCATGTTTCTTTGACACCATTTCTTCATTTATATCAATATCCTAGAAAACAATTATTTATCTTGATCAACATTTTTTCTGGGCTAATTCCAACTATCAAGGGTTCTTTCACGTTTTTCATCTCCACCAAACGAATAGACATTGTTCCTTGCCAGACTCCTCCGTCCTGCACCACTGAAAAGGGGAAGCCACGCCAGAAAAGCCTGAGGAACATTCTGGGCTTACACCAGGATCAAACCCAAGAACTGAGCGGGTTATAGCACTTGTAAGTGCTGCACACAAGCTAAGCCCCTACCAATTTGAATCTGTTTTTTAGGAACACCTATTTACATTTTGTTTCAGGTATCTTGGGGAAAAAAAAATTTCAAACCAATAATACTTAGTTGCTCTTCTCAAAAACATTTAGTATATTTAGTTTTGAAATTTTAAGCAAAACATTAACTTAAATAGTTATTTACCAAGGTCTAAAAAAATTATGAAATTATGATGCATAGTTCCTGAAATTATAAATATATTCGTTGTTGATCCGTATTGTGCTCACTCTATTATCACAGACCAGCAATGAACTTATCTATTAGAATTATATAAGTTTTACCTCATCACCATTGGTGTCATATAACTGTAAACATGGTATCATACCACTGGCTGTTGATTCGTAAGTGACAGTTTTAGCTATTAATACCTTCCACTGAGCACAATAGGTAATCTCCTCGAAAAAGTCTATTGCGGCCTCACTCCAATTTTCCCCTATAATATAAATAATTTAAAACTTCCATTACAAATATTCATGTATCACATTGTTTTATCAAAAATAACTATATAATATTCTATAATCTGAAAACTTGATATGAAAGGAATTTATTTGTAGGCAAAGTAATATTTCTGGCATGTTTGGTTTCTGATACAGAATTATTGTGTTACCTTAATTTCATTTTACACTTTACAGGATAGCATGTTTGGTTTCTGATACAGAATTATTGTGTTACCTTAATTTCATTTTACACTTTCCAAACAGTACCTAATTAACCCTTGAAGAAAAGACACAGAGATTTGACATATATTTTGTGAGCACTGATATGTACTAACCTGTAGGTTTAATGTTTGCCAATTTACACTCCACAGCCTGGAATTTCAGGCTAAGAAAATCAGGTCTGCAAGACAAAATATTGTTATAATGTAACCCAAATTCACATAAACTGTTTTGTTAAACTCAAAGAGGTCATTATTTTTTCTTCTCATTAAAGTTTCTCAATCTGATTAAAACACAGATCCTATTTCGTTTTTATAGTTCAAAATTTCCTTTTACTTGTCTTTACTACACTAGGATCTGGAAGAGTTGTTATCTTTGAAGTGTTCTGAATGGTGTGAGGTATTAGCCAATGAAACGGTCTGTTATGGCGAGCTTTTAGGCGTGTTTTGCACGGAACTGTGGGTAATCCAATAGTAACATCAATGCTGATTGGTTAATCAAATGTCTGACATTAAAGGGTCAAAAGCCGCTCATATGACCTCTGACGTGACCTATCGCAACAACCGGTCAGATCTTCATGTAGATCTGTATTTTAATCAGATTGTAAAGTCTCTGTAATACATACAGCTATGTCATTTGCATTTTTGGACCGATATTAATGTTAGAGATTCAACTTTTTTAATATTGTAGATTGCGAGGAATTACCCAATCTTTTAACTGATGTTCAGAGACTTTATAATCTTTTATATACTGTATTATGTCATCTGCTTTATTTTGAGAGGGACTTTTTTTAATCACATAAAAGATTTAACATATGCATACCTGAGTTGACGAATTTGGTTTCTCCACACAAATTCACTGTCGCCAAAATCTACAAAGTATAGGTCTACTTTATCTTCATGTATACCTATAACCTTGGCTCTGTACCAAGCATTATCACTTTCAAATGGTGCAGCAACCATATCACCAATGGAAATATCAGAAATGGAATAAGACTAAAAAAGTTAAAGTAAAGATTTATCAGCCTTAATTCAAACAAGCATTCAAAAATTAATCTTTATTAAAAAAATTTGCTTGCAAGCAGGGTTTCTTTGGCAGTGAGAGGAAGTTGGAGATGGCGGTGAAAACACACAGCTCTAGGCAAGCTATCACTAGATTTTATGAGGAAAACCTAATAGAGTGGTTGCAAGGGCAGCCAGGGATCGAATTTGATGGACGCAAACTGCGTGTTGATATTGTAGACTGCATGTTACAAAATATGTCACATGAAAAAAAATGTGTGTAACATTTTTTCGCTTATTGTTACTGAATAACATGATTATTCAAGAAAAACAATACACACATATCATAATTGACCTTTTTTTAGTGTTTGACCATCTGTCCTTTTATTCCATCAAACAAATTCCGACATCAGTCAAAAATATACGTTATTGGCAAATGCTGAATGGCTTTCACGCGACACAAACAGTTTTAATAGTAAAAAATCATGTACCGCGATATATCGCAGTTTTAATTTTTCTGGATGATATTTAACATATATATATTCTATTAGTCATGTAAATTTGCTTTTTATTTACCAATTTTGCTTCGTCTGTGGAATAAAATCTGTTCATTTCATCTGTCATACGGTCTAACTGCATTGCTTCTGAACTTAGAATCTGAACCCAGAAATGTCCTGGATGTTCAATAGCAGAAATATAAACTTCCATATAATCTTTCTGTTCTGGCATTACTGCTTTGGTACTCTCCCAAGATTCATCTTTCAACATAGCTAAACAAACCCCAAAATATTATTAATAACTCTGACACATACACAATAAAAAAAATGGCATAAGTACGCAAATATTTTGAAAACTTAACATATAGTACTCACCACATGAATAGAAGGTTTAAACTTATCCTTCTCTAATTAAAGACAAAATACAATAACAAGGAACGCACTATCAACATTTAGCTATAAGTTATTGTGAGTGTCATGAATAAGTCAGGGCATGATCACTATTTCTGATTACACTTTTCATTTGTTGATTTAACTTTGGTGATAGGTTTGAATTTAAACCACTGTGCGTGTCACTCTACTGGTGGCCAGCATATGACCCAGAAAGTGTTTTAAATCCTCTCCATTCTGTTAAAAGTAGAACATTTGATACCACTTCATGATCATTGCAGTTCACTCAAATAACAAATGATTTTTACACTTTTGTATTGTAGATCTTCTAATCTCTACAGAATTGTCTGAGAGTAAATTTCTTTACCTGGTGATATGTGATGTGTGTCATGTTCAGGTGTACGATCTTTCCGATGTGACGTTCGTTGTTCACGATTTGCTTCCATCACAGACTTTTTGGCTCGGAATGCTTCTTCTTCGTGAATTTTCTCATCAATCAGATTCTATAATAAACAAAACAAATCAAATTTTAAAACATTTGATGAAGGTCAAAATGGATAAATTTACACAATTTTGTTTTCTGGCATGGTTAACAACTTTTCAAGAACGAATGTACGAGTCTTTCTAAATAATAATAATATACATGTAAAATCATTAGTAAGGATCTGTCAATGAATGTTGAAACTGTTTTGATATTTTGCTGGCCATGCATATTTCATTGACTAGATACCAATAAAAAAATGATCTCATGATCATAACTGGTGTACTTCGAGCTACATAATTCAAGTTGTTCAAATAAATGTCAAATCTTTCATTACCTTTGCCAGATCAATCTGTTCTCGAGAGCCTGTTATTGTCACTTTTCGGTTACCAACTTTATTATGGTCTTCCGTAGTACGTTCAATGTAGATTTTGGCTTTAGAAATACGTGAAAGTTCACGAACATTTTCTCCTCCACGACCTTGACAATAAGAAAAAGATATCAATACTAGAAAACTATATCTTTGTAATTATTTGTTATTAATTAATTAATTAAATAATCGTTTATCTTTTCTCAACACACTAAGAAATAGAATATCCATTTAAAGCATATTTTGGAGGTGGACGTTAGGATCCATAAACAAAAAATCTAATGAAAAGACCTGTAATGAAAAGAGCAGCCCACTAGATATTTGGAAATAACAACTGGCTAACAAAGAGAAATTAAATTTCACTGATAAACATTCCCCATATTAAATAAAATTAGATCTGTCATAAATAAATAAATAATGAGCTCAATATAAAGCCACATACAAAGTTTCATTAATCCAGATGGATTGTGCCTGTCAAAAATTGTTTCTGACAATGTCATGCAAAATCACAAGAATTTAAACCACATTAAAAAATGTCTTTAAAATAGAGAAAAAATGTAAACTCCAATGCATTGACAAGGGAGAGTAGTTTGGATGTATAGATGAGGGCGACAATCTGGGTATATAAAAACAATTTAGTAAAAATTCTAATCCTTACCTATTATTCTACCCAATGCAACTGCTGGAACCTGAATTTCTTCAGTCAGAATTGCGGGCATGTCAGCAATGATTTTTCGAATCATTAGTTCAGCTTTTTGTGCGGACTCGGAAGTACCGCGTATAATCACTGTTCTATTGTCGTCGGATGACCGACTTAAAGTACTCTCGTCCTTAAAATTAACTCTAGCACCACTTTCCTCTTGTAACTAAAATAGAAATAGAATAAATTAGTCGGTACAATAATATGTTCACCTTGACTTTAACATATGGAGCTCCACCTAAATATCAGAGTATTACGATACCACCTATTGAACTAATAAATACTACTTACACCTCCAATATTATCCCACATGTCTTAACTTTGATATCACATAAAACCATATAATTATCATATTCAATAGAAATTCCACCATTAATGTTAATGTTATAACACTATTGGCACATATAGACATTTATATATCTTTGAATCATGGATAACTTCACTACATTTAATACAGTCCTGGATTAACCATTAAGCAAAATAAGCATGTGCTTATTAAGGCATCAAATGAAGCAGCACCACACAGTTTTTTTCCAGTGCCAGATTAACTATGGTGGAATGGTGCAGCAGAACCAGGGCCCACAAAAAGGGGTCCCACAATAAATGACAAAAAACACATGATGTAGTTATTGTAAACTATTTCAACATAGAAGTAAGTTAGTTTAGTTTTCTTTATTTCAAAATTTATTTTACAGACTAATATTATTTTTATTTTAAATTACATATATACTGTTGTCAAAGAAATCCTTAAATATATAAAACAAATAAAATTCCTTATAAAATTAAAATCTTATCATTAGTTAAACGTGTTGTCATTAGTTAGCTAGAAGTCAATTTGCAAGTGTGTTGTCAGTGTAAAAAAAATGATGAATCTCCATAATCAATAAAGAGTAACCATCATAATCTTTATAAAAATAATAATAATAAAAAAAAAAAAACACATTGAAAATAAACAGTAAACATTCAGAGCAGCAAGCCACTAACTCATTTGAATAAAAAAATCTAAAATGTAATTTCGATTATTTTTTTTTGTTAATAAATAAGTCTTCATAACATAATAGAAATTAATTTTAATTTAAGGTTCAATAAATATCTAATAATTGATTCAATGTCATCTATTAATTGATTCAACTTAAATCTAAAACATGATATTTTTTTCATTACCTACCCCGCCCGTAATTCCGTCCTCATCCATATAACAGCCCTCTAGGCCAGCTAGGGAGTGTAGCCGTCGAAACAATAAGAAATAAGAAATGTGCGCAACTGTGGAAGGGTTGGTTATATAGCCTACTGTAGAAACACATACGTAATCGGCAACCTGATTCCTATACCACCCTATATTCTAAACTTGTTATCACTGCCAGATGTGTTGCCGCTTTCTATACTTCTACATATTACATACAGTTGCCCGGTCCATATACAATTTGATATGAAACCATTATAAATATACATCACTGTGTTAGAAAGTCTCAAGGTAAAAAAAAGTTCTCAACTAGAAGGTTTACATTCAAAACATAAACTAGGAGCTTGTTGAACTTAGAACAAATTACATACAGGATGTACTGAATAACATCTTAACACCAATTACAAGAACCATGATCAGAACTTTTTAAAAAAATAGGTTTTCCTATTTATTAAAGCCTCGAGGTGCCAGAAAGCCTATAATAATTATTCAAGAGCTAAATCTGCCTATTGCAGGCCTTTCTGTTAATTAGACATTTATAAACATGAAAGACCATAATCAACTCCCGATGCCATCGGATGGCTCCAATTTAAAGTAAATTATAACGGTTCAGCCATTTAATGATTTAATTTAAAAATGGAGAAGCTCAGCTAAGCCTCGAATAAACAGCACCGTGGTTAGATAATAAAAAATCAATGCACACATCTTGTCCAAACTACAAACATTGATAAGGTCGCTCAGAAAAAAGTAATTTGAATGAAATTTTCAATATATTCATTTGGATTATCTATTTTTGAACAATTATAGCAAGAACAGCCAGTTCTTTATCTAAATCTTACATATTGTCTCTTTAAATATAACCAAAAAAGGCTGAAATGTGTTCTTTAAGCATGGCGTACATCAACACAGCAACTGGAAGTAACGCAACTGATTGGTTGCAGTTGCATCTATGCGTTCAGCGCACATCAACACTTCGGCAACTGGTTAGTTGCTCAATTCAGCATGTGTACACCATGTGATTTTTTTCAAAATGGCTGCCCATTATCTCATAGAAAAATACCTCAAAATAGACAGTCTCATAATAACAAATTGTTCTTTCAGCTAATTCGCTTGAGGCTGTTTTCATTTGAGTGTCTTGCTCTACATCAATTAACCTGAAATTTTTCAAAAATACTGGTAGGCCTTGGCCTATATATGTAGCCTCTTTGAGAAAACAGTTTTTCTTTCTTTTAATCATAATTAAGTGTATACATAGCAAATACACATAGCGACAAATGCTGATCACGTGACAGTCCACTTGACCTCTTGGTCGTACAAACTTTATACGATCAGTTGCTATTTGCACATAGATTGGCCTTTTTTTTTTTTTTTTAGAGAAACTGAGTACAACTTATTGTCTGAAAAGTAGAACACGAGCAACTACCAGCAACTGGTGGGTTTCCAGTCACAAGCGTGTGTACATCGACACAAAATGGAACTGATCGTATCCTCTCACTTGCTGGCAACTAGTTGTCTGCAGTTGCAAGGGCCGATGTAGATACTGTCTTGACTGAAATGTTCATTGCTAAAATTTTCCAGCATCGATTGTCGTTTACAGATTCACAATCCACCCAATACCTCGATCAAACACATCTTCACAATAACTGATTTAATAATGTATACAAATAATAAAATGATATTAGGACAAATGGGTGTAAGTACGAGTATAACAGCTTTGATCAAAATTAATGTACAGGATTACTCACAGTACTCAGTTCAACTATACCAGCATTCGGTTGAAGTCTTCTTTGCTTTCGGTGATTCTACTGCTTTGAAGTAGTAGTTTGTAGATAACCTTTACAGATGTCTTCTCGGCATTGCCGTAGTAATTCCCAAGTTGGCAGAATTATACAGGATCTTGATGATCATAACTGACAGGGTGAATAATCCTTGAATCGGTAGAATCTGATGTGGTAATAATCCACACCAGTAATCCTAAACTTGGATTACAACAGAGAGATCAAGTCTCTCAAAACAGCACAAAGTAAAACAGAGAGATAATTTCTCTCAAAACAGTACAATAAGTGCAACAGCCCGGAATGACAATAAATCAAGAACACAGACCACGTGGGTCAAATTGAAACTTAAAACAAACGTATTCTGTAAGAAGTGCTAAGAAAGTTCTGCCCTTGGACTTGTCTAGTCCGGCTCATATAGTTTTCAGAAATTCTAGAACTTTCTGGAACATTCTACACAACTTTCCAACTTTTTCCAGAACCCTCCATAACCTTTCAATTATTTCTAAACATTGTTTCCAGAAGTTTCCATGTTTTTTAGAAGTTTCCAAATGACGATTCCAGATTCTTGAAAAGTGTAATCGTCTAAAATGGTATTAAACGATAGATTTCAATGAATTATCATGACCTCATCACATCATGGATAGAAATCAATAATTGTTCAGGCTTTCAAATGTTCATGGATAGAAATGAATAATCTTTCAGGTTTTCAAATGTTTATGGATAGAAATATCGTTTGGGTTTTCAAATTTTCATGGATAGAGTTGAATAATCTTTCAGGCTTTCAAATGTTCATGGATAGAGTTGAATAATCTTTCAGGTTCTCAAATGTTCATGGATAGAAATGAATAATCTTTCAGGCTTTCAAATGTTCATGGATAGAGTTGAATAATCTTTCAGGTCCTCAAATGTTCATGGATAGAAATGAATAAATCTTCAGGTGCTCAAATTTCCATGGATAGAAATGAGTAATCTTTCAGGCTTAAATGTTCATGAAATGAATAATCTTTCATGGATAGAAATGAATAATCTTTCAGGTTCTCAAATGTTCATGGATAGAAAGGAATAATTCTTCAGTGTCAAATTTTCATGGATAAAAACGAGTAATCTTTCAAGATTCAAATGTTCATGGATATAAACGAGTAATCTTTCATTATTTGTAATGTTCATAGATAGAAATGATAAATCTTTCAGGCTTTCAAATGTCATGGATAGAAAGTAATGTTAAATAAATCAAAAGTAATCTGAAATTTAGATGATTGATTGGTTAATATTTTTTGGATCAATACATTTTTTTAAGATTACTTTTTATTGTGTGTGGTCTGAAAGTGGCTTTTAGTCTGGAATATGGTGCTTTAATATGAAACTAACATAAGCATCATTCCAATAATTAATGCTTTCTAGATTAAATAACAAACCATCATCATACATCAATACTTTCAAAATCAATTATTTTAAAGCTGAAATTATTATTTTTCTATTTTCCTTTTTTTGATTTGTAAATATAGACCATATTTGATAATCCACCAAAAACAGAAACAGGTATATGATCCAACAGTATAAAGCAACTCAAAATGTGAATGGACAGATAGGGTTGACCACCACATTGACGCCAATATACTAATAACATGAAAGACAAATAAACCTCACACAAGTTCTAATTTCTGAGAATATATCAGCTCCTTTATTGTGTTTCTATGATGTCAAATGAAATTGGTTAATTCTACAACCTTACGACTATGTGGCCAAATAAACATGATGTTATTACATCTATCTGGGTGGAGATGAAAATTATATAAAATGACATTGAACTTTAAAAATATCTATAAACAGAGCTAAAAATAAACCAAATGACAGATGTTGGTTCTCTTCAAAGACATTTACAAAACATATTGTACACCATTTGGCTTAAAGAGGCATTAATACTTGGAGATCTTCTTGTTCAGGTAAAAACATAATTATTTTGAATATTATGATATTACCGGTAGATGAAATTATCTATTTCTTGTTGAAACTTCAAATACTTCTTTACATCACTGTAGTCTTACATAACAACACTTATCAGCTTTAAAGTTGAACTTAACTTTGGCTGCCAGCCAATTAGTCAAAAAAGAAATTCTTGATACAAGATTTGACAACACAATTTAATCTGTCACATTTATATGAATACATGTTCAAAATTAATGACAAATCCTCTGTTGTGTTATAAAATCTTATTAGCCAGGTGAACTCCTCAAATCAGATGTTGTTTCAAGGTCTCTTGAAGAAAAACATACATGTACCCAATTGCTGCTTGCTCAACAGTCATGGTCTCAACTGTTCTCAAAAAGATATTTTGTACAAAATTTGCAGTGCTAATCAGGAGAAAATATAAGTTGTGCTTTGCATTGTTCTTATGTAATTATAAATATTATGATAAGATGCAAAGTTAAAGATTTTATTTTCCTGCTTATGGAAATAATTATAACCTCTTTTAGACAAACCATTAAAAATTACTGTTTTTGTTTTCTCAATATTGAATATGATGGTTTTATATCAACTTCAGAAAGTAATTGTACTGATCATAGTAAAGTGCAATTCAGGAAATTATTGTATACATTTGAAGAAATTTTTAATAAAGAACAAAGTTACGAAACTGTTGAAGTTGCATACAACCTCAATATGTTAATAACTGTTACATGCCAAAATGATCTATACAAATACGCTTGTATGACTTTTTTTAAATACATGTATGAGATACAGGAAGAATGATTTTATTAGCAATATTTATTGGATTAGACAATTACAGTGTGGGCTTAAATTATTCAAGGCAGAATTTCCTAAAATTTTCCACAGCTGCCAATGGTTTTTTTTTCAAAACAATCTAGGGTCATTTTGCCATTTTTATCAACAACCTAGATTACAACTTCTTAAACCCATTTAACTGAATTCATATTGAGATTTACTAGGAAATGGAACCAAAAATACTTTGAGGGCAAAGTAGACAAAAAAGCTAATATCACAAGTTTGTTAAATATGAAACTGAAGGATCAAGAAAAAGTAGGTGGTGAATTCTTTTTAATATGTACTGAGCTGCCACGAAATTTTACTTCTGCCAAAGGTTCATAATATCCACTAGTACCGGGTATTGCGACTGCAGTTGCAATACAATACGCATTGCGATTCGAGTACTATGATATGATTCCCATGGCGATTGATAACCAGATCAATATTTACCAAGAAAACAACAGGATAAAAGAATAATTGATATTTTTATTGGATCCACTAAAACCTGGAAACAAA